CAAAATAGTACCAATTGCAACTGCATAAGGTGCATTGTTTACCTGGATTTGCCGACGTCATTTGTTTTGAACTGTTAAAGGACAGTCGGACTAAGAAATCATTTTTTGTTGCAATATTAGCACCAAAATACAACACAATATGTCGCAATGTTTATCGTCATGTACTCTTGTCCATAAATCCGTTAGTTACGTGTAAATTGCGTCACAAAAATCCAGACATAAATTCTAATAGGATTAGTTTTTACATTAGACACCCCGCGGTTAGGGTGAGGCCGTACATATTTGAATAACCTTTTCACAAGTCATGTTTGCACAACAATAACCATAATGGATTGTTCAACCTTTAACTTGAAACACCATGAAATCCAAAAAAGAAATTGGAAGTTACTTAGATAGAACTTCTTTTAAATTCGAGAAAAACTTGTAGGTAGACGTATTTTGACTTTGAAGAAACTTTACAGTTTCACAAGCAACATTACAGATAACAATTTACGGTTTTTCAATGTTTCAACAACCATCTCTGAAACGCAGATCACGTGTTACTGAACCAAAATAATCTATGATATACCACCTATTGTTCTTTTACAAAACATTTTCTAAGCGGCGCAGTTACAGCATTCCACCGTGAGTGACATCATTGTGTCGGTTCTGATAACTTAAAATAAAATATTGTAACTTTTTTCTACATACTCCTTATCAGTTTGAATCATCTACTCGAAACAAAGCTTTGATAACGCAAGCAAATAGGGTCTTTAGCACGTAAATAGACACTTAGAACTCACCACAAAAATCGCCGTAACACACAACAACATGTACTTGATGCACCTCATTCCGACTTCTAGATTTTCCGCCATTGTCCAATGTTTCGTTCACAGCACGATATAAAATACTGGCGCGGCAGGTGTTAGCAGGTTAGAGGGGCCTTATCAACTGATAAGGTTTGATATGTCGACAGTGGCGCTCGCGACGTTCGCCCGCGTACTGAATGTTTCAATGCCATGAAAACTCATTTTCCTTCAGCCAATTAGCACAGTGGAAACTGAACCAGTAGGCTAGCTTAGTATGCCGCTTTATTTTGTGGATTGGACTCTCTACATCGTTCTAAATGATGACGTTCTAGAGAAATGTAGAATATTTTTACTGTTTAAAAATCATGTTGTAACTCGAGTGTAAGTTTCCCGTCATTCGAATCTAATTCATCGAATTGGAGACGCTTGAATGATTTGACGAATTGCCTACCAAAAGGATCGAATCCAATTATGACGCTGGATTAGGTTCACTCGATATTCACTAGAAAATGTACAAATCCGAATCATTTCTTTATTCGTTTATTTCTTTAGGTCATTCCCCAGATAAGTTAAATCATTACAGAACTTTACTGTCTAGAGTTCGGGAACTTAGTTCTGCCACATTTAGGTATTAAGATTATTTCGGACACGAAAACCTTCCAGAATAAGATCAGACACTTTGTGGCATGAATTTTTCCCTGAAGTCGTAGAAGGAGAAATAAGCCCGTATTCACGAACATTACTATGAGGTCTCATAGTGCGCGTGGACGCACTAGGTGACACACGAACCAATCAGAGCTCTATTCAACGCTGTGCGTTCGATTTGCTGCTTCACTTAAGCAAGCATCGTTTGTCAATACGGGCGTTAGAGTCCTACGTCAATACGTTTGTCGCAGAGCAAGGGGGCCTATTGCTTCCTCCTACACTACACGATTAGTCGCATATGGCCGCTAATCACCTCGGCAAACAGGCTACGTCATCGGCTACTACGTGGTACAGGTAAGTATGCTACCGCATCTTTTTTATATGATACTTTATTGCTGCCCGCATGAAGCGTTCCGTTGACACTTTTCTGGTGCCTACTGATATTGTTCACTAGGGAACTGCTGATATGAAGTGGCGTTCATATTCATATATTTATTTGCACACTAAGCGTACATAAAGGTATTCTAAAGGGGGCGTCCATAAATTACGTGAGGCTTTTAGGGGGGGGAGGGGGTCAACAAAAACCTCACCAAATCTCACGTGGGGGAGAGGGGGGGTCTCGGGAAATATCACGTATTTTTTTCACAAGAAATAGAGAAATAGAGTTTGCCAGAAAACTGGGTTAAATCTTAAGTAAAAAAATTGGCCAAGTGCGTGTCGTGCCACGCGCAGTGTAGGGTTCCTTAGTTGTCCGTCGTTATCACAATATATTTCAGAAGTAAGCAATTACTTCATCTAAAGTCACTTTTAATATTTTCTTCTAAGGATTTTTTATTAGAAATGAAATTTTATAATACATGAGTAAAACGACTATTACTCTTGAACTAACTGATCTATCTTAACCGCTATAGTTTTCCTTGAAAGTTCATAAAAAGCACTATAATCTTGAATTTTTCCAGATTTATCAAGCCAACAGTTTAGTTTTTAGCGGGGGGAACGCCCTACTCGGACAAAAATTGGCACTTTAAACTTTAACATTTAACAAACGGATCCCTAAATCGAAAAATGGTCTTAGAAACCCCTAAGCCATTTTAAAAGACCTATCCAACGATACCCCACACGATGGGGTAGAAGACGAAAAAAAAATCATCCCCACTACATGAAGGGGAAGCTACCATAATTTTTTTTTTTTTTCAAAATTTTATTCTACCGTTTTGTCGGCGTGATTAATATACATACCTCTACAAAATTACAGCTCCCTAGTGCCAATAGTTTCCAAGCAAAACCTCGGCCTCGGACAGACAGACAGCCAGACATATCGAAAATTCGAAACTATATTAAGGGTTCCTTGTCAGGACTAAAAAATGATATTTGTATGATAATAATGTCATTTTATTCTTCTATACAGTCTAAACAAATAAAACTAAAAATGCTTCCGTCTGCATGTGTGAATACTAAAATGCAGAATAAATGACGAAATTAAGAAAATTATAAAACAAGTTCTTTTTTTATCAAAATCGATTTTGCCAGATTATTAGTGATTTTGTAGAAAGGAACAATTAGACTAGGTACTTCTATAAAAAAACAATGTGACCCTAGTACTAACCGCTGTCACTACATGNGGGGGGAACGCCCTACTCGGACAAAAATTGGCACTTTAAACTTTAACATTTAACAAACGGATCCCTAAATCGAAAAATGGTCTTAGAAACCCCTAAGCCATTTTAAAAGACCTATCCAACGATACCCCACACGATGGGGTAGAAGACGAAAAAAAAATCATCCCCACTACATGAAGGGGAAGCTACCATAATTTTTTTTTTTTTTCAAAATTTTATTCTACCGTTTTGTCGGCGTGATTAATATACATACCTCTACAAAATTACAGCTCCCTAGTGCCAATAGTTTCCAAGCAAAACCTCGGCCTCGGACAGACAGACAGCCAGACATATCGAAAATTCGAAACTATATTAAGGGTTCCTTGTCAGGACTAAAAAATGATATTTGTATGATAATAATGTCATTTTATTCTTCTATACAGTCTAAACAAATAAAACTAAAAATGCTTCCGTCTGCATGTGTGAATACTAAAATGCAGAATAAATGACGAAATTAAGAAAATTATAAAACAAGTTCTTTTTTTATCAAAATCGATTTTGCCAGATTATTAGTGATTTTGTAGAAAGGAACAATTAGACTAGGTACTTCTATAAAAAAACAATGTGACCCTAGTACTAACCGCTGTCACTACATGTGTTTTCCTGGATCTATTCGTAATCAGTGGGCTTAGTGCGACTTTACACAATCGTCATCCGCTAGCGACTGTGTAAAAAATGACATACATTAAATGTATGATGATTGTACAGCGTCCCTAGCAGATACTTTCAAGAACTAAAATCTTTAACTTTATAGATCTTTTTGATGCACTCGTTAGCGACAACGTTAAAGCACACAAAAAAATGTTTCTCAGTTATATTACTCCAAAACTATTAAATTTCGGATTTTTTTTAATATCACGTGAGATTTGGGGGTGGGGGAGGGGGTCAGGCAAAATCTCACCAAATCTCACCAAGGGGGGCGGGGGGGTTGAAAAATAGCCAAAATTGTCTCACGTAATTTATGGACGCCCCCTTCTATACAGTCTAAACAAATAAAACTAAAAATGCTTCCGTCTGCATGTGTGAATACTAAAATGCAGAATAAATGACGAAATTAAGAAAATTATAAAACAAGTTCTTTTTTTATCAAAATCGATTTTGCCAGATTATTAGTGATTTTGTAGAAAGGAACAATTAGACTAGGTACTTCTATAAAAAAACAATGTGACCCTAGTACTAACCGCTGTCACTACATGTGTTTTCCTGGATCTATTCGTAATCAGTGGGCTTAGTGCGACTTTACACAATCGTCATCCGCTAGCGACTGTGTAAAAAATGACATACATTAAATGTATGATGATTGTACAGCGTCCCTAGCAGATACTTTCAAGAACTAAAATCTTTAACTTTATAGATCTTTTTGATGCACTCGTTAGCGACAACGTTAAAGCACACAAAAAAATGTTTCTCAGTTATATTACTCCAAAACTATTAAATTTCGGATTTTTTTTAATATCACGTGAGATTTGGGGGTGGGGGAGGGGGTCAGGCAAAATCTCACCAAATCTCACCAAGGGGGGCGGGGGGGTTGAAAAATAGCCAAAATTGTCTCACGTAATTTATGGACGCCCCCAAATACATATCAAACGTTTTTAAACAGCTACTAAGTCACCATTAGCCATTATTAGCCTCTAGAAGTCCTACTAGAAAAAACGCTTGGGCAATACCACCCACCTCAGATTGTAATCAACCGATTCAATATTAAAATTAGGCCACAGCATAGTAAGCGGGTCATCTCGCTTTTAAGCCTTAACCTTACTAGGTCATCGGTCCACCGGAATGAGAGGCCTAACTAATTCTATTATGATATTTGGATCTTACTACTAATATAAACCGAGTTTTTCGTGAATGACGACCAAAATAGAGCAGTGGCCAGAAAGTCAGTATCATGCCTTTTAAATAGTACGAATTAATTTGAACACAACATATTCAGGACTTTATTCCTCGTACATCATAACAATATTCTTACACTATACACGTACAAAGATAAATTAAGTAACGTCTAAATGCTTCTCTCCCACTCTTCAAGGATATGCTCCATGCTCCTCCCTTGACATCTTGGCTAGCCATACAGCTCCAACCACCGCTAATGCCTGAAAAATAATATTTTTATGTTAATTTTGATTTCAAGTAGTGGTGCACAGCAACTCTATCGTCTACCAAAGTCCAAGGATGTTAGGGAACTCGAACTTTTGTTCTCAGTTAGATTAGGAATTGCTAGCTCAACCTGATTCTCTGGAAATATTACGAAATATAATTTTAGGGCGATTTCCAATTCAGCACTCCCAGATCTTAGTGTTGCAAGTTTCAAGTGTACCGCTGCATGGTAAAAGAAGTAAAAATCATTGGATCAAAAGCATAAAGTAGGCCAAAATACTAGCTGTTCCTGCGACTTTGTACGCGTGAACATAGTTTGAATAAACCGTTTCCGGTTATTGCAACATTTTTCTTTACTATTCCACCCTTATTACCTATAGGGTGATGTTATACAGTGTGTCCGGTCATGTAGTGGTCAAACTTTAAGGGCGCCCTTAGAGTTTGATCACTACATACCCGGACACATTGTATAGCCTAGAGCCTTCCTGGATAAATGGGCTATCCAACATAAAAAATAATATTTCATAGTTCCTGTCCTGAGACTATCACGTTCAAGCGAACAAAGAAACTCTTCAGCTTTACAATATTAGTAAGTATAGATTGTGTTTTTAATTCAACCAAAAAACTTTCTATCCCCAGACCCACCTGTAAAAGGACCAAAAAGATGCCAGCAAGGCCTATAGAACCAGCATGGGACTGCACCCACGCGCCGAAGGCAGTTGAGCAGCCTTCGGTGCGGAGCGTCGGCGCGGGAGTCGCCATAGTGCAGTTGAAAACCGTGATGGTCCCGAAGGGGAACTGACAACAGCTGAGGGGAAGCCCCTGGTCCGTATTCGCGGTCCCAAGCGGTGCGAGCCAGTCGCTTGCATTGTTCACACCGCAACATGAGAACTGAAACATGTGGAAAAGAAGAGTTGGAGTAAAAGTAGGTAAGTACTTAAGATAATACGAAAATATAATTATCGTCGTGTTTAAAAATTTCCGTGTTGGAAGATACGGCATGTGCATGTATTTATGTTACCCAATTAGTTTTTTATTTTTTTAGATTATTTTTTTATTGTGTTTTATAAGTAGGCTTTTAAAAAGCGCTTTCACAGTCACGTCATTCTGGACCAAGTCGTGCGTGTGCAGCTGCATGGTCTCGAACAGCTGCTTATATAGTCTTCTTATTGCTCTTGAGCTGAATTGGAATAGGAACATGGCGAATACTCACGTCTTCCTGGACTTTGTCCCAAAACCGGGTGACCACCACTTTATGCGTGTAGAGCTGCATGTTCTTAAACAGTTGCTTCTACCGCCTCTATGTTGCTCTTGCGATCATACCAGGTATCGCGTCGTCTTGGAATAAGAACATGGCCACTCTCCATCATACTTCCAATACTCACATCTTCCTGGACCTCGTCCCAAAACCGGGTGACCACCACTTTATGCGTGTAGAGCTGCATGTTCTTAAACAGCTGCTTCTACAGCCTTCTTATTGCTCTTGAGCCCCTACCAGGCATCACGTCGACTTGGGATAGGAACAAGCCACTTTCCGGCAAACTCCCAATACTCACGTCTTCCTGGATCTCGTCCCACAGCCTGATGACCACCACGTCATACGAATAGAGCTGCATGGACTTAAACAGCTGCTTCTACCGTCTCTGTGTCGCTCTTGAGCTCCCACCAGGTGTCACGTCCTCTTGGAATAAGAACATGGCCACACTCCATCATACTTCCAATACCACGTCTTCCTGGACCTCGTCCCACAGCCTGGTGACCACCACTTTATGCGTGTAGAGCTGCATGTTCTTAAACAGTTGCTTCTACCGCCTCTATGTTGCTCTTGAGCTCATACCAGGCATCACGTCCTCTTGGAATAGGATCAAAGCCTCTCCCCGGCGAACTCTCAATACTCACGTCTTCCTGGGTCTCGTCCCACAGCCTGGTGACCACTACTTTATGCGTGTAGAGCTAAATGTCTTGAACAGCTGTTTCTACAACCTCCTTTTGCTCTTGAGCTCATACCAGGGATCACGTCTACTTGAAATAGGAACAAGGCCACTCCCGGCGAGCTCCCGATACTCGCGTCATTCTGAACCTCGTCCCACAGCCTGGTGACCAGTTGACCACCAAGTCGTGCGTATAAAGCTGCATGATCTCGAACTCGCTTCTACAGCCTTTTATTGCTCTTGACATCACATCCTCTTGACATAGGATCAAATCAAAGACTCTCCGGCAAACTCTTAATACTCACGTCTTCGTGGACCTTGTCTTAAATCCTGGCGACCACGTCGTGTGTATAGAGCCGCATGGTCTCGAACAGCTACTTCTACAGCCTCGAATTGGAATAGGAACGTGGCGAATACTCACGTCTTCCTAGACCTCGTCCCACAGCCTGGTGACCACCGTATCGTGCGTATACAGCTGCATGGTCTCGAACAGCTGTATACACCGCCTCTATGTTGCTACCAGGGATCACATAGAATTTGAATAGGAACATGGCGAATACTCACGTCTTCCTGGACCTCGTCCCACAGCCTGGTGACCACCACATCGTGCGTATACAGCTGCATGGTCTCGTACAGCTGTTTCTGCACCAGCGCCTCCGCGTTGCCCTTCAGAGCATACCCGGCGATGCACGCCGACAGTTGGAATATGAACATGCACACCATTGCTCCGGCGAACTGGGTAATTTAAAACCATCATTAGTTTTTGTTGAAAATGTAACTCTTTAAAGCTCTATAAAGATAATTTTAGTCGTAGTTTCGTAAGAGCTAACGGAATATTTTTTGTAAATCCACGCAAATTTAAGCACGCATGGATCACGTGTTATACTGCTAAATATTTAAAGACTAGATAAATGAAAACGTTTTTTCAAATTTTTACTTCGTCTTTGGGGCATTCATTCTCACTCAAGCTTTGGGCGAAGCAGAAAATAGAGTCTAGGTACTTTAATTTCCTGTTTAAAGTTGATATTCCTATGATCTTCTCAATTTTGTTCAGTACATAAAACAAAAATGGAACTTGTTTTAATGTATTCGAATACGTTGGATGTTGAAATTTAGAAAAAACTAAATTTTGAACTTAATTTCCTCAAATTAACCCTTCATTTGATTTTGTTCACTGGGATGAACATTCAATTGAAAAAAATAATATGCCGAGTGCATACGTCTTAAATTCTAGTAAGTTTTTTTTTTCACTAGAAAATATACTTAAGTTTTGGTAGAAAAATATTTTTATGTGCTTAGTCACAGTCTGAAAGTGTTAATTTTAGCCAAAATGCCGGCCATAGCGAAGACCAGGCTTTAGTGTCAAGGTGTTTATTCAAGCTTTACATATTTTTTATTATAATTGAGTAATGACAGTGGTTTTAACGTATTGCATAGTGTTCATGCTTAATAACTTGATTGATTTACAATGCTCATTTTATAAATAAGCCATGTTATACCAGGTCAAAGTCGAGTGTTCATCCCAGTGAACATTGCCAAATTACTAATAATCTTTGATTGTTCATCCCAGTGAACGTTGTCAAATAGGCTATGAAACGTTTATTTTTGCTTAATTTTATTCCAGCGGACTAATTTCTTTATTTAGAGTAATTTTTTATTTTGTTTGGGATGTTGGCAGCTTAATACTGTATATTGCATTAAATGTAATATCAGAATAATGTTTTGTTATTGGTAAAAGTGGACATAATTGTTTTCTAAATTTTCATGCAAAATATATGCATATTTTAATTTAGCGGTTGTTTGTAGATTCAAAGTTTGTAGTTCCAATGAATATTTTTGATTAAAATAATTTTTACTTTTTTATTTAAACCCTGAAGAATATATTTTATAAATGTGGGAGCTGTTTTTTTATTATTTAGTGCGACTTGTCCACTTTTAAGTTACATGAACAAAAAAATATGATTTTTTTCTTTAAAAACATTAAACATTGTTTTACCTCAACGATCGCACAAAATTGTATGGTAATAGTTACTTTCTTACTATTTTGTGCACCAAAAAGCGTTTAATAATATAAATTTTACTTTTTATATGAATATTGTTTTAATTTAATGCCGCTACCCTAAATTGGCAATGTTCACCCCAATGAACAGTTAAAATTCTCCATATATTTGGCAGTGTTCATCGGGATGAACATTGTTTTTTTTCTATTTGGTGAAGTTCCGATTTTTTATATATTTTTTTCTGACCTATAAATAACCCTAAGAACATAAATCCGACGATGTATTTTTATTTTTTGATAAATAATGAGTCTGCCAAATTAAGGGTTAACAAGAATTTGCATTCTCGAGAACGTGAATGCAAATTCCATACAGGTTGTTTAAAATAAAACTAATGCAAGGACACAAGTCATGGTTTTATAGTCTTGTTTTTAAATATGAAAACGTGATAGTAGATATATGTCTAGTCGAGTATGTGCAGTACTTTGCATGACTTACAATACTCATAAACGCTAAAATTATGGGAAAATCTGTTTCTGTTTACTGTGTACTAAACTGTATGTTACGTCAAAGTTTTAAAAGAGCATGTTTACGATCATGTAAAGGTCAACAGTTTACATAATAAGGAAGATCATTATTTCGTCATTTTTATCTTAAGACTCTAGATTTAGGAATATTGTTTGATTTCTGATATTTTAATTTAGTTTTCCTTTATCTTGGGTACCTAAGTAGTAGTATTAGTAACTCCTAGTACGTTCTAGAGACGGAAATATCTTGCAGTTTGCATGACGGTCAATGAGAGCTATTTGTATTGGTCCTACTAAGATACAGTGGCCTACAAACGATTAAACTAACGTGTGATCGTAACTACATGCGGTTAGTTATGCTAGAGTTGCGAAAATATTTAAAATATGATGTATTTTTAATAGGTATCTAAGTACCTAGTCTAATTATTGCAATGCAAGATGCCGCAGTGTCTATAGACATTAGGTATCATGTTTGGAACCCTATCAATATTTTTTACTAGCTTATCATATCACCGGTCTGTGTCATCAGAACACTTTCATGAAAACACTCTGCAACAATAATTCTCATTAGATCAAAACGGAGATACTAATTTGCCACATTGCTTTATCATTTGATAACAGAACAAATAGTAAGTGTACCTACAATTATTTAAAATAGATAACTGACATTTCGTCAAAGACATAAATAGGACGGTGTCTGGGACCGAATCGAATCAGAATAGTTTTCATGCCAAAGCAAATACTTTTCATAACTGACTTACCGCCATGATCATCAGGTAGTTCTCTTTGAAGGCGCCATAGAATCCGAAGAAGGCGATGATGAATATGATGACTCCTGTCGCGATGCAGAAAGCAGGCAGAGAGAAGAATCTCTCAGACAGCAGCTCGTGGTATCCATTGTAAGCACTTTGTACTGAACTGCCAACGGCGAGTATAATGATGCCTGTTATCTGAAAACACCGTCACAGCCACATGACTAAACCGCCATATATGAAACTCAAACGCACACTACACAAACGACTTACCAGAAACAGAAAATTTATTGTCACTAACGTGTATTTCACTGTTGTAAATATTTTCGATAGCATTTTGATTTTATTGTTTCACCGTGCGGAGCGAGCCGAGCGTTCTCGCTCAAATGTTAACAACGTATAGTTTTAGCTTTAGATATTTTTATCGCTGTGCATTAATCTTGATAAGGAAAACAAGCGGATTTATCTCTCGAGGCTCCTGTCGTGTGATTCACGTCAATTTCACCTCAAATCGATCGGCAAAATATCTAGCACAGATATTATTAGGCAGATTCGTTTGTATTTTTATCATTGGAATACTTATTAACTGAACGAAAGTGGTACTGCGCAGGTGTTGTTATCATTCCAGCGGTACCTACCTGCTATCAACTACTGCGTATCGTCCTCTTATCAGGCCATACATTCAAGTATCGGAAATCTGTCTCATATTTGGAAATTTTATTTAAATAAGAATGGATTATGTAGAAAATAAGTGAAACTACAAAGAAATCTAACAATTTTTCTTTATTAACAAAAAAATATTTTAAAAATACAAATGCCATCTCACATAACTTGTTATCGCTCTATTTCTCTATTCTTCTTTTATTTTGCAATTACGGGTAAATGAACAAAGTATGATTATGTACGATATCAAAGTACCTACTTATCATTGCGTATCTATACAATAATACATATACGAGTAGATACCCGTTTGGTCAACTTCATAATTATTTTCTTTGTTATTTTATTTATACAGAATGTCCCAAAAATCAGGTTAAATTTTATATGAACATTTATTATGAGTTTAGTCAACCTTTTAAACTATACCCACATTTCCAGGTTTACCTTCAAACCTTGGCTTTAACCAAGGTCTCGGTAATGTAGTTTGGACAATTAAGATAACTAGCGTATAATTTTTCTTAAACTACCTAATTAACCAACTTAACAACGCATGAATAATTAATGACATTGCTCTAAGTACTCGTATAATGGTGTATAAAACTAATTTCTATTTCAAACTAGAATACATCTTATCTCCATTTCCACTTCAGGGATGTAACTAGGAATTTTGCAAATTTTTCACTGTCCCAAAAAACATATGTACCTACATTATTTTCAAAAAGTTAACTTCAAACTTAATTATTTACACATTCGGGCACTCATGCTTATATCTACTTAATTTAACGTGACATCCATCTCTTCATGATTCGAGCTCTACCTCTTCGAACTTGGACCGGTATGCTAACCAGCCAGACGCCAACACTATGAGTACCTGCGAATTCACATTTTATTATGAGATCAAATTCGTTCGTTCGTTTCAGCCGAATGACGTCCTCTGATGGACAAAGGCCTCTCCCAAGGATTTCCACAAAGACCGGTCCTGAAACGCCCGCATCCAGGCACCTCCCGCAACCTTCACCAGATCGTCGGTCTACCTAGTGGGAGGCCTGCCCACACTACGCTTTCCGGCTCGTGGTCGCCACTGGCGCCATTTTAGCAATTCTGATCAAATTATAAAAGGCCAAAGGTGCAAGTTCGTAGCCGACTCTACATAGCAGCAGACGACATATTGTGTCGCTTCGACATTCTACTTTCTATGTATTTCTATGAAATAGGCCTTTCGATTGTCGCTAGCGACGGATGCTATTTCATAGAAACCATAACCAGTAGTGTCGCGATGACACTTTGTCTGCTGCTGCTGTGTGGAGTCGGTTATAAACTTGCACCTTTATGCATACGTTTATGTTTACAACTCGGAGGCATACCTTAAATCAAATCAAATCCATTTATTTGCTTGATAAGCGGTACAGAAGATGATAAAAGAAAATAGTTCGCACAAATCATCTCAACTGGCATACCAGGTATGCGTTACATAAACGTACACTAAAAATATTAATAGATTTGCTCTCCCTAAGCCTCCAACCTGCAACCTCAGAGTCGAATACTTACTTACCACTAGCCGCTAGGGGTGCCCCAGCCGTTCCTTAATTTTATAACTGTACTTACTTAGGTATACCTTAAATTAAAATTGCCTTGGCCTTTGTAGGGCATTCCAATATTAGCAACAAACGGAAATACTGCAAACTGCAAAGCATGTTGAGGATGGTGATATCATTAAAGGAACTATTAGGCAGGAATTTCATCTAACAACTTTAGTCGACGAGGCCGTGTGCTATCTTCAATTTTCCTAGCAACAGCTGAACAGCAGCCTTGATTACAATACAAAAGGCATAATTTACATTTAAGTCAGACACTTTTTGAGCATACAATTTAAATACTTGACAAGCAATTAAGTAGTTGCGAAAACACAGCTGCCCCTAGGCAAAGTTTAAACATTTGTGATCAACTTCGTGAACATTTTACAAAATTTCGTTAATGAAGGACCTACGTATAAAAAGTAGGACTTAATAACAGAAATGACCTTAGGTACAACCTTTAGGCCTGCTGAAAGAGGCTTACCAAGTTAGCATTCTATGTATGAAATTGTATACCCACCAGTCGCGGAGGCAGCTAATGGGCTATGTGGGGCTCCCCTTACCTGAAGGATGGGACTACCCAATACAAACCTGACTGTTTCCACGATAAGCCATATGAGCCGCCATTGACTGTGTTTGAAACATGGACTATGGGCTTGGATATGTACAGATGTAAAGGTCTGAATACTTCACCTGTATCACCATAACAGGCAGCGCGATGTAAGCCATGACGTGCGCGTTGTGGCTGAGCCACTCGCCTAGTACGCTGGCGCAGCCCGTCATGTACGCGTTGTTGGTGGTGCACTCAAAGGGCGAGATGGTGCCGAAATCGATGAGGCAGCAGCTCACGGGTAGGCGGTTTTGTGGCCAATCATGGCGCCCGGCCACGCCGCAGCATTCAAACTTTAAGAAGTGAGAAACAAATTAATATGTGCCTGATGAATCCTCATCATAGATCACGTTATTACTGGGGGAGTGGGGGACTTATTTAACGTACTTATGAACAACGGATTGAAGTCCGTTTCATAATCTACTAAGAAGGTGTAATAGAATAAATAACACTCATTGGATAATGGAGGAGTAGGGGAATGATTCTACTGCTCAAATGCAACATCTCACCCAACCATTCATTCATAACTTTTGAGATCATTTCAGTTTGTGTAAAAAAAACTTAACTTTTAGCCTCTTTCGTAGTGTACAACTCACCCCAATTTGCAAATTATCCCACAAAATGGCCACCTCCCGCCGATTTTCATACTGCTGCAAAGAACTAAGCATCGTCGTCCTGATTTCTGATGATGCGTCATTCCTTAACCCAAAGCTTGTTATTACTATTGCCATTTCGAACACCAGAATAACCAATGTCAGAATTACGTACTGAAACAAAAATGCATTCTGAGAACACTGAACTCCTGATAATATTTTGTGGGCAATTTAAATATGTCATAGATCGTCGAAATTGCAGTTTATGAAACTGACGTTAAATATTTTTCAGATGTTTCATAAATCACATACTAACCACAAGAATGAAGTAAAACTGTTCCGAATAAGCGCAATAGAACCCGAGAACAGACGTAACGAGAATTATTGCGCCTGTAGCAATCACGAAGCTTGGCAACGAAAAGAACCGCTGCGTTATGAACTCTTCATATTCTTGGTATACCAGCAGCACTGCTATACCTAATGCCAGGAGCATCAGACCAGTGAGCTGTAAAAATCACATCTTAATTCATTTTCTTTTTAGTCACAAATGTAAACCAGTTTCAATAAGCACCAACTATTTCACTAATTCACTAAGGTAGAGCTTCTTCTTACCAGAAATAACACATTTACACCTGCTAAACAATATCTCACAGATTTCAAAAACTTTGGTACTCTTAGTTTAAACATATTGGTCAAGTGACTATTTTCGTCGGCACTGATAGGCAAACTGAAAATTGAGATGACTTATCTCTGGTAGAGTTCATATCTTCGATATCATGACATATCGATCTAATCTACTTCATGCAAACGTTAGATCTTCCAAAGAAAAACAACATAGTTTTTACAATGTTTTATGTACATTATATGATGATGCATTGGTGGGTGCTTACTACTTATCATGCATAAGTGGGGTACCGTATCTTACCTAAATAACAACTTACATTCAGTAGGTAAGTAGGTTATGTAGGTATATGTTATAAATAAATTAAGAAACTTCCTATTGACGTTATTAAGATCATCTTACGTACATACAATATAGCAAGGCTCCAAGACATGCTAATAAAAAAAAATGAAATCCGTCCAGCAATTTTCGAGTTTATTCGTTACAAACATACGAAATTTCAAATCTTTCCTCAAATATTAGAAAGCTATTAGATATTAAGTAGCCCGCGACTTCGTATGAGTAAAAATCGTTTGAATATTATTTTTCCAGTTTTCGTAACATTTTTCATTGATACTCTGCTCCTATTGGTTGTCTCGTACCGTGTTCGTGGTAGAGCGTGGTAGTGGCCTTCCAGATTTCATGACAAATGCGCTATCCAACAAAAATATTTTTTTCAAATCGGCCAGTAGCGTGTTCAATCAACGAAAATAACAAACTCTTCAGATTCATAGTGGAAAAGAACAATGGGAGGCAGGTACCCAAGTTGATTTTAGAATCTACTATTTAAAAAGAATACGCAACTTCGACTAGCAACACCGAGCGCTGTTGTTTTTAGTAGTTTTACCGTCACAACACTGGCAACTCAGTTATTTTCCGCAGCTGTTGGTGGACGTACGTTGTTGTGTTCCGCATACTCGAATTTTAGAGATAATATTTGGCGGTAAGTGTATTTAATTCACGCTTCACTGTTAAAATAATTTTTAGTTGTAATTATTTGTCGACCAATAACAGACCCAGTTGTTAAATGGATCACACAGTAACTCTTTGTAAAGCAAGTGCGTAGAACGTGCCGCCAGACGCAAATCGATGTTTACAACAAACAATAGCGCGTTGGCTGGCATTTACTCAATCTTACCTGCTGTTCTGAAGAAAGGTGTTAAAAGTTTCTATTCTTTTTAGGTCCCAGGATTTTAATAAAGTAAAATAAACTAGGACAAAATGGCTCTCGGAGGAGGAATGTCGTGTGTGAAATACCTGCTGTTTTGCTTCAACCTTTTGTTCGCGGTAAGTCCTACTTAAAAAATATCAATTTTACTATTAGTCTACTAGAATTTAAAATTGAAGTACAGTTAATTAAATAATTACATCAAATACCTACTTTGAATGTCGATTCTTTTGTTTTTCTACCGCCGCGCTGTTTCCAAAATTCAATCATGTATTTTTTGTGCTAACTACCTTCATAAAAAAAATATATTTTAGTGCATACGCGTAATTATTGATTTATTTTCCATTGTTTTATTAACTTATAGATATTTTCTTTGTTTGACTCATCATTTCACAGGGTTGCACAATAAAGTTAAATAATTGTTCAAAACTTTTTGTTATTCATGTCAGAACAAATGAAGGCAACACAAGAAATTAATTTTTGCACAAATATTGTAATGATAACATCATTTATTTTTGTCTTCGCTATCAACCAATGATTCCAGTTTAATTGTGCATATTAAAAATAGATGTTATCTACCCTTCGCTGACTCACATCACAAAGCATGTCAACATAGACATCATTATTGCTTATCGTGTCATAGGAATGTAGTTTTAATTTCATAAGTATTTTCAAAGTTTGCATTACAGGCCTTATACTATAGGCACTATAGTAATTTTCATTATTTTGGTTCTGTAACAGAACAGTGGCAAACAAAGTACTTAACTTGACATTAGGAAGTTATTTTGGTTTATCCATCTGTCTAAATTATAAGTTTAAAAATGAATAATATTATTGTTAGTTTAGTGCAGTCAATTTATGTGTTTCTCATTTAGCAGACTGAACCTCAGAGTGCCCTGCGCTTATCTAAGTGTAGGTAATTAACCTGCCCACTTGAAGTACAAGTGGCATATCTATCACTCATGTTGCTTCATAAACATTTTAATTACAAGCAGAAAGATAAACTTTATTTATTATATTTTGTACTTTTACTCACATGATTTTATTTGAAGAATTATATTTATTTGAGTATTTGACTTAAATCATTTGAGCTTCTTCTTCTTTTCGTGTCTAAGAAGAAGATCATTTGAGCGCTATGACCAAACTAACTGGTTCGTATGTTATTATTATTTAAACAATCACAAAATGCTTCATACCAAAATTGTTACCACAGATAATAAAGCCATAAAACAATATTTTATAATAATAACTAAGCAAATACCTACATTAAGTACAATCGCTAGCTAGTTAACTTTTCACAAAATGAAGTATTTTTCCAATCTCTTCCTTTTTCCAAAATTAATATATTAGAATCAATATAAATATAAAGTCCACCAATCTTTAGCTGGATGTGCTGTCGCCATACATTCATACTATAGCATTATGTGCCTAACATACACTTGACTGCAGGTACCTACCCTTAACGTTTTTATCTCCAATTCTTGCCGATAGCAACAAGTCTATGTAGAAAGGGTCGCTTGGCCGGCGCCAAGACACCCACGCCACTCTAATTTGTCTTATGCTTACAAATGAAAGTGTGACGTCATGTCGAGACTATCGTAACAACGTTACTCGAAGAATAAGACAGCTGAAGTAGGTATAAATGTGGCTACAAGCTGAAGTAGCAAAAAAAATCTCGTACTTGTTTATGAACAATTTTATTTATCAGTCACTGCCATGCGTCTGTCTTTGCCATGTGTCTGTTTATTGTAATTTCCAGCGTTTTGGTTAAATAAATAAAATAACTAAATTAAATCTCTAATAAAGATAAAACTTCTAAAATAAGCTATAATACGATAACCTATACCATAAGCACAGATTAGGACCTGGCTGCGCACCAAAACAGAAGAAAAACACCACACAGAATGGAAAAAATTGTGAAGGATGCAGGCAAACAAAAGTGCAGTTAGTTCCGGATGTATCGAAAAAGTTCTCTAAAAAAAGTCTTCTGTATCATTCAAAAAGATAATAAAACACTATGAAATGCGATGGATTGTCTTTTAGACACGTACAAGAATACAAGATTGCTTCTGCTACGTCCTCAAAATAGAAAAATAATACGACGGGATTATAAAATTAGCACGTGCTGACACATCCGTATTAAATCTGAATTATATTTTAAAAAACATTCGAAACAAAGTGTGTCAAAACTTCGGACATAAATAATGCGAAGCAATTTTCGCGCCGCGTGTTTAGAGCTGTAAAACATCCAATACGTAACTAACATTAATTTAATGTATTGAAATACTACTAGGTATAGCTATTCAGCAATAAGGAACATTGCAAACTTTATTTCGCTACATAAAAACTTTTTACCTGTTTCGATCTTAACTTTTTACGTGGTCTAATCTTCCACCCAACCTCATTTCAGTGTTTGACCCTGATTCCTTCTTACCTCTACAATATTAAAACCATCCTTCTTTCCAGATCACGGGTATGATCATATTGATCGTGGGCGCCAAGGCCATGATCAGTCTCTCTCCCTACATCGACCTGACGGGAGAGAACTTCTACACTAGCGGACCGGTGGTACTGATCATCGTCGGAGTGATCGTCTTCATCGTCGCCTTCTTCGGATGCTGCGGCGCCGTCAAGGAGAACCACTGCATGATCATCACGGTGAGTTTAATCATAGAAAAGGATAGAAAACTTTATTTGTAAGAAAGGTATACAAGCAAGCAAGACATGGATACACACAGAGAGAGAGATACACAAGTGGACAGATAACTGCTTGAGCCCCTCTAACAAAAAGATACCCGCTCAGCATACATCAAGACCGCCAGGGCTTGTCTTGAAACTGATTGATCATGGATTCATAGGATCCTGATTTCTGCCGGGCTGGGATCCGCGCCGTGATAAAATCTTATCAATGATTGTATACGACAAACGTATGGGCTTATCGGTCGATAAAATGGCGCGATACAAGCGTATCTCGGCGCTCATCCTACGTTTACTGATCTGCAATTATAGGGGAACGGACACCACGCAATTGAGATACTTTTTATAAGATGTCAAACACTGTTTCTCGTTATGAGTTGTACGGAAATAATACCCACGTCTAACGCGCATATCCGCTCACTTTGAAAGTCACCTATCAATAAAATCGAAGTCTTATGAGTCAGAGGAATCTTTTATTATCAACGCTAGGGTTATCTTTTTCAATAGCGGACTAAGGTACAGAGGTTTTATTGGGTTTACTTACTTGTTGAATGGAAAGAAATTCGTCATGGGGTCTTACGTTACCTGCTGGAGCCCCCAACGAATATCCCCTTCCAAACAAAAAGGCTTAAAGTTTCTAACTTAGTGAGTTAGATCCAATTTCGTTAACTCCATGTGGCACAAGGGTACTTAACTGTGAATATGTTCAGAAACTCCATAACATCGTTTAGTACTTTACTTCAACATAAGTATGACGTGTTTTCTAGAACTTGTGGTGATTGCGGTTTGAGGAAGTAAATCTTTATTGTAGACTCATTCATGCAACGATAAACTAGAGTTATTGATTATAAATAATTATAATAACAAACATTAATGACTGATCAGTCTTTAACGTCATATGCAACTACATACTTGTTAGTTATTTATTGATATGATATTTTTCAAGTTGGCGGTCATTAGCTAAGATAACCAAGCTGTTTACTTGGATTTATACTGCGTAGGAAAATAAACAATTTCACTCCACAAGTTGGTGGTTATAGATGACCCACGCTGAACTGTCCCACCAAACTCAATGACAGGGGGGCGCTACCATCGTTCAACTATATGGTTTCCAACATGGCAAAAATCTGAACCAGCGATCCGGTATTGACGGTGGCGCCCCACTGTCAATGTCATCGACAGGACAGTCCAGTATTTTGGAACTATACGAACTGTTGCCCTGTTTTTGTGGAAGCCACGTGACATGATTTGGCCCTGACCTTCAGTCAGCCGGTCGGCCATGCGGACAAAATAACAGATGCAGATAGATTGTTTAAGATATAGCTATTTTACTTATTTAAGCCTCTATATTGCTGTTATCTTAGGTCTATTTTCGGTAATAAGTAATAAGTCCCTAAATCCCTATTTAGCAGTGCCAGCCGTGCCAACTACCGCTCGACCATGGCCAATTTGATGTTTGTTTTGATATTAATTTTAAAAGGTGTGGTTTTCTGAATAAAGAAAAATAAAAATAAAGTAAATAAAAGTAATTAAAAAGAACTATTGGTTACTTTTAACGTAGATTGGCAACTAAAACAGTTAACGTCGCGCGTCGCTTGTAACAAAATAGTGTAATGAATTATTGTATTACAGATTCTCTCTCTATTTATGTAACAACAGCTCGATTACGGAACTTGTCTAGGTAACGTGAGCAACACACATTCACATGTCACTAATTGCAGTCGCTATAGAATTTATGCTCATTCTTACAATAAAATATGAATATTATTGCTTATAAACCTAAGATCCTCGTAACATTTTCTCTACCCTACCCCCTAAGCTCGTTTCGGCTTACAAGTTAGGGTAATTGCGCCGGTTTTCCGTCCAGCTCCTGTTTTCGTCCATTTGACCGACTTGCCACAAACAAATACGGAAAATTAGAATACAAACCTAACTTTCCGAGCAAGTTTGGACTTGTGACAATCTATAATATCTAAGTAACAGTTCTGCCTGCATGAAAATGTAATTTGACAAGTAATAACTCCAAAAAAATCTACGGAAGTTGCTGCTGCACACAGGTGAATGGAAAACGTCGTCAAGAAAAAAAACGTGCCGGTAGAGAACTTTCATGGTATGTTTAATTACTGTTTTAGCTACTTTACGTAATGTTTTTGGCACGTATGTCTAATTATTAGCATAATAAACACTATTTTAAGGGTTTATTAAAGTTTTTGTATAGAAATTTTTTTTTTAACTTTTAAGTTGAAAATTTTAGAATGTTCCGCTAAAAGCATATTTTTTATGTTTCTAGCAAAAGTTTTGTATCTTGCATCAAAGATAGGAAGTTGATTATTTTTTTCAAAAATCTGCAATTAATAGGGAATCTGTCAAAAAAAGGAAATCTGAGAAAAGTCGACCCAAAAAAAAGATAAAAAAATTTAAAGCCTACTGGGTCATACAATTTGAAAAAATCACAAAATTAACGATAACTTCTAAACTATGAAAAATCGTAGAACATACATAGGGGTGAAATCAATAGGTCTAGTCCTCACCTATCACCTGCCTTCGGCTTGACACCTTACAAGAAACACCCTGTATATGTAAGGGTATTTCAAGATATTCATTTCGCATCACAAAGCTGGCAACTCCGCTAATTGGACGAGAACCAACGTACTTACCCTACTTGTCCCCTGGGACTCCTCGACCTTATTTAGTTTATTTACTTAACTGTCACAAAGTTAACGAAAGTTTTTGGGCGTTTAAATACCTACTGTCACTGACTTTATGTAGAATTTGAATTAGTAGGTAGGAAGAAATTATTTTTCTCTTCTTTGCGTATCATTTGTTTTTGAATAACAATGAAGCTTTTCATAGGTGTATTGTTAAATTGTTATTACTTACTTTCGAATCTGTAGTAGTGTAGTGTAACAGGACAAGGACTGTAAGTACAATACAACTTAAACTGGATGAACTTCGTTCTCAAAGTTGTATTTCAACATGAGTAGCCTAGTAGCATTCTTTCTTAGCGTCTAATGTTTCGAATTATGCAAATGTGCTTATTACCTAAACACGGTCAAACTCATGCTAATTATAGAAATCATTGCTTAGATATGCCTGCCAACTCGAATAAAAACTTGACCTCATTAAGATTTATAAAATAAATTCATTTTCTGTAAGGAGGCTTTTTTGGCTTTTACAACCCTACCGCTGCTTTTTGGCAATAATATAGGCCATGATGTCCGCTTTTGTCTAGATTTTTTTAAATCTATTAAGTAATGTGTTGGAACACGAATGATGTAGGTAATATTCGTAACAAAATTGAACATGAAGCTCCGAAACAGCCTGTCCACTAATGGTTTTACGCAACATTGTTAAGTTAACACATTAACAGCTAAATGAATAGTCGTTGACTCCAATCGCGGGGAAATACCCAAGAGCAATCAAATGAACAACGTGATATTTTTATAACTCGCACAAACGCCGCCCACTCATGTGACCCATCTTTGTACTCAAGTGGTACACAATACGAAAATAGCTGACGTTGGATGGCCAATGATGGCCGGCCCGATGATAATGGCGAAATTAAAACCGGTCCAGAATCTATCCACATGGACGGACTGGCCTCGAATCCTCGATCGATCGCGTAACGGCTCGGAAAGAACCTATACCTATCTACTTATGACACATTAACCGTTGTAACCGCGGCATAGGCATCAATAAATAATGTTAGTTACAGGAAAATTCTTCTAGTTCCTATTGTGGTCATAGGTTATTTTGTAATTTGACCTAATAATTACATTTTGTTGCAAAAATTACGAGAAGTTGTAAAGCTGTTAAAAAATAGAGATGAAGTGAAAAAGCAATTTTTACCGGATGCATAAGACCGCAATATTTGACCTCGAAAACCACTTCGACTAATTAATTAGGAAGGCCTAAGAATTGTAAGCGATTCTTCACGATATTGAGCTGGCTTTCAATCGATGAGACAATGAGCGGTCCGGTTAGACAAGGTCGTTTCAATGATGCTATTAACGTAAACGCTCATCTTGTTAAAAATACATTATATTTGAGAGTTATTATTTATTTCTTAAACATTACCTTTAATATTTTAAAATTGGTATCGGCGTTGTGCGCGTTATAGCTGACAACGAGGCAGAAAAACTGCAAAGTCTTTTTTCACAAATTCTTGTAGAATTTCAAGACGCAACTCCTCAAAAAAACATTTGAAAGAATATTTCTCTAATACGGGAAAGTTCTTGTTTCTGTCCTTTCACCAATTAATTCTAAATAACTAAGCACTTTTAAGAATAATACGCAATGGAATATCGAGATGCCCGAATGGAATATCGATGATGATTAAAGCCTAGAATATTTTATTTACTTGTGTAAATTACGAGTATATTTCCATTTCTATCTTGGAATGTTAAGCTGTCATAACAGCGGTCAGTCCTCGGGCCAATTGGAGTCAGGTCCTGCGACCTCTGACCGTCTCGGGTAATGAGCGCTTCCTCTCGCTGCGCTTGCGCCACTGCTTGACAATTACATTACGCAGGAAGTCGGCCAGCGCTTGTGATTTATCTCATTAGTTGAATAGCTGTAGATTGAATACGTGATGATACTCTTAAAATTCAGCATCATCATCATTTCAGCCACATAAAAGGCTTGTACCTACGTAGCATCTTCATGAGGTCGTCTTTCATGTGGACAGACCCTGCTTGCTGAGAATGAATTTAATTTCACTTCCAAATATTCCGTTAAATTAGCATTGCATTCTGCTAGTGTTGTTATCGCTCATTTTTCACATTAAACGAAACTGTTAAAATGTTTCTTTAGTTGCGCAACGCGAGTAAAAATGCGCGAACGTTGAGTCATCACTTAAATGACAAGTGTCGTTTAGAAGGACCTACTTTTAAGTCTAAAGCCGACTCGTGCTGATAACTATTATAATAATAGCCTGGTTTACATTCGTTCACCCTAGCTTATCGGATTTCTTGATAGCAATATCCTATAGAAAACATCTTTGTTCTCATTAACTAACATACAAGTTCTGATTCAATAGCGACTGCAAAATAAGTATCTTTAGTTTTAACTGAGACTATGCCGGTTTATCTGTAGGTAAGCGTAGTTAAGTTATAGATACGGGACTACTCCCACCTTGTTCCCACCACTGCAACTCCTGTGTAGCCAGGATCTACAGCTTGACCGTCACAAAAAAAACCCAACCAACGAAGGTCAAGTTTGTTCCGGGGGAAAGTTAAACTGTCATTGGACCCGCAACGAAATTAATCAGAAGAACATAGGAGGAGTTCGAAATTAAGATTCGACTTCCCTCCATTGCAAAGCGGATGACAGGTGACAAACAAAGGTTTAAAACCTTTAAGAAAAGATTATGCACCACGGACAATAAATATCAATTAAGGGGGCCTATCTTATGAGCAATTAGCAACTAAGTACCTGCCAATAATATTTTTCACAAAATCGCTTAAAAGCACGGAATTTTTTCCTTGTCGCGACAAGATCGGTGTAATAAATTGCGGAAACAGATGTATGTAGTAGCCTAGCAGTAAAGTCTGCGCAGCAGACTAAAGCCTGAGAGATGTGTTTGTATAACCAACCAGATTTCATTTTTTTCACATCACATCTTCGCTTTTGCGAAATCCAGGCCATAAAGCAGAATATCTGCTCATCAAAACTACTGGGACCAACCGACCAAGCAACATTGAACAGTTTTCCAAATTCGAGCTTAAGTTTTACTTCACGTACTACGTCATCATCTCCGGTTATCTCTAGCATGTAATTTGGCTCCATTAGCGTCCATCGCGCCTTCCTTCATATCGTCACCTCTGAATTAGATAATGTTGTGCGCGTAGGTGGACAAGCAGGTTGTCGTGACGTGCAATTAGTGATCTTGTAATTATGTGCACGTCATGTCCGCGCATTGTTGCCTTTGTGCGCTAAATTCTTTAATGCTTTATGGTTTTACTCGAATCTTTTTTGTTAATACAAAAATAATTTATTTCAGCCAGTTTGCACTAATACTTGATCTACTCTTTAATTATAAATTGATATTGGTGAAACGTAGGTAGCCCTCAAACTGGTAGAACGACTATCGGAGATTGTAAGTGCAGTCGAAGGTTAAACTCAACGAAAATATGGTTAACTGTGATTAACTCTCTCGATCTGGTATAAAGGATAAAAAATTCTCATCAGCAGATAATTAATATTGTCAGCAGCTTTTCAAAATTAACGTGAATGATTTCTACTTAATTAAAAACCAAATCCTCGACATGACCATTTTATTCAAACGTACTTTGGAACCCGAGTCTTGTAATCGGTTTACCCTCGTCCTGGCCACTCGTGTATAACGGGCCCAATTCGTAAACAGACATACACCTTTGTATGAACAGGTTAACGACCGTATATGGAAGGGGACTGATAAGCAGGGACAGGTAGGCACGGTTGATAATTTAACGTGGACATGGCAAACAGATATTATGGCCCAAATGAATACATTTGTCATTTTAAATTAGAAGTCAAAACAATAAAACAAACGCCCCTGGCTTACGATCCTTATTAAACGGCATTTAGTTAGTAGGTACGTTTCTATACAATTTTATAGTTAATTTTGTGACGGTACTGCATGATACAATAACGTGGTTGATCGTTTACTATTTTATTTTACTTATCAAGAATAAAGTAAACTTGAACTGTATCGTTGGATGACTAATATTACAGTGCGTCATGATGATTCAAGAGTAGGCACCTACAATAAATTGTACTCAAATAGTAAGAGGAGCACTATGAATAACGATAAAACTGGACAACAATACCACCTAGTAATCCAAAACAGGTCGTAGAACTTTTGTATTGCAATAAATATGCTTCAAATTAATCAAGCTTGCTTCCAATTAAGAAATTAATTCTTGTGTTTTGAGGTGGCAGAAAGAAGAAAAACTTACTTTTATAATCAAGTAGGTATTAAACTGAACAAAAGGCAAAGGCTGAATGAAGACCCAAAGGACCCAAACTAAATTCGAACTGCTTAATATTGAGGCCAATCACAGATTCAAGTCTTCATGAGTGTAGATTCATACTTGAGTCTTACCTACTTCACGTACCTATACGAATCCGCACCACTGTGTCATCGACTCATCAAACTATGGAAATATGAATTATGTATGATGCCTTGTTGCTTTGACTGTTGATGTCTGAGAATCAAAAGATTATTTATTCTGCAGATGCAGACATTTTATTTATAGGTCATTAAGTAGATCCATTAAAACCTCGCCTCCCGAGGTGACCCGAGTGAATAGTTTAATTCTGATAAGAGTCATGCTGTGAAAACACGTCATTTCTTATAGTATACCTACCTACGTCTAAGTTCGTATAGCAAGTGCCTACATTATGATCATAAAGAGTTTTTTTTGATTGCATAATAAGGCAGTTATTTGACCACAATCGCACCTGATGTTAAGTGAGATGCAGTCTAGGATGGTAGGTACATCATATCTGTCCTGTAAGTGCCTATTCACTCTCGCCTTGAAAATGCCCGGATTATAGTCTTCGGGAAAGACAGCAGCCGGCAGCTAGCAGTTCGCACTATAAAAGAGTCATCGAAACGCTTAGTGCGAGCTGGTGGAATGTCAAGTTCTCCTAATCCCAGTCTTTAGTTTTAGATATAAACGACATGAGTGTCGTTGAATTGTGTTGTCGGTGACTCTTGTTGGTTTAACAGTAAAAAAAGCCATACCTATTGAGTTCTGAAGGTTCGTTTCATAACTAAGCATTCCTATTGAAGGTGTTCTATAATCTTAGCATCACAAATTAATTGTCCACGCTTTAACAATAAACAAATTCTATTCCAGTTCTCAATATTCCTGCTGGTCATCTTCGTGGCTGAGCTGGCTGTGGGCATCGCGGGCTACGTGAAGCACCAGGACCTGGAGAACTCCATCATCCGCAACCTGAACGCCACCATCAAGGACTACCCCACCAACCCTGACGTCAAGAACAGCTTCGATATCATCCAGACTGACGTGAGTTAAACTATTTTTTGACGCAGAACAGCGAGAACAGAAAGGCAGGTATTTGACCGCATCGCACCTGTGCTGTGTGCTTACCATGAGCCATGAGTTTACGTTAGGTGTGCTCGCTAGCGAGTACGTCAAAAACCTATGAAGATTTTATTCTTGCAAATCGAATGCATAGCGTTGAATGGAGCTCGAGAACATTGTTGTTGCTACTCGTATCGTATACTTATTGCTCTTATAACAAAACAACTGAATAAGATCTGCAGTGTGTTGTTGTTGTTTTTTAATAGTAATAAATATTTTGGTAAGTAGGTATTTGCTTTTGCTACAAACAAAATTATTTGTTTTTAGCTTGATGAAAAATATCATGATGGAATTTGATGACTAGGTGAATCTGCTAAAGGCCAAATTAAGAGGGAATTAAAGGGATTTTAAAATGAAACAGCAAGTTATAAAGACGCGCTCATATCATTATTAATCGCGATACATACGAGAGTCGTTGCTGAGGATGATTCAAGGGGTTTTTCTGCAAAGATTTCCTGCTAATTTAGCACGGCCGTAAAAAATTACCGTTAACTGGTATGCCTGCATAACTAATGACTGCGGACCATGGCTTTCGACACAAAAATTAAGTATTCAGTTTGCTTACATTATATTCTTGCATTGTAGTTACAGGGCAGTCGTCGGTCACTATTATGGGGCATAGATAGATAAAACACACTTATTGTACACCACTCAGGCAAGAAAAAGAAAGAAATAACACAAAATACGGCCCAATTTAGGCGGTCTTATCCCTATAAAGCGATCTCTTTATTTTAGTCTGAAAATATTAAATCTATGATCGTTTTCCTTTTAGATCATTTGACTCAAAAGCCGTAAGCTACTTCATTGTTTTTTTCACTACGCTTTGTTACAGTTCAGTACATGAACAATAGAACGAATTATGTATACCACAGGATGTGTCCGCCCAAGGCTGCAAATTCAGTCAACATAATCGTGCATACTCTTGCGTTATCTAATCTGTGCCAATGTGGTGTTATTCACGATGAATGGCCTCAAACATGATGCGCTGTTTGCACAGGTCTAACATATCTATAGTAACTATGGATATACGACTCACATTGTCGTGTTTATTGGGCAGTGAAATAAACTTCCATCTTATCCTCAAGTCTGAAGTTAACTGTTCATATTCTCGGAATATGAACAATGTCAATAATAGGTGCTTATTGTTTCTGAGGGGAATCCCGGCGCGGAGGCGAGTCCTTTTGATAAACGTTCGTGGCGATGACGAAAGATTTTTTCTTCGAGATACAAATGATACAATAATATCATTAGGCTCTATATTTTATTCCTACAAATCCTTATATCTACGTCATTGTTACTAATAATGCATATTCGTTTGGCATGGTATACTTAAGCTGTCTATACTCTACAAAGTATGGAAGTAAAACGCCCTTTGAGCTCAGAACTTTCGAAGTTCAATAAAAACTGTGAGCACATTATAGGTACTTTAACCAAAATCGCAAAAGTGCCGAAGACAAAAAAAAAGTATGGAACAGCAATTAGTAGTAATGTAGATGAGTGTCTTTTACTTTTAATCTAAAATCATAATTCACTGATACCGTTTTAGTGTAGCTTATAGCTTGACGGATTCGTCTTTTACTGGTACTTCTTTCTATTCATGTCACCTGTAAAGTAATATATTTCGTCTTTTATCCCCAGCTGAAATGCTGCGGCATCTACGGTCCAGGCGACTGGAAAAACAACAGCATGCCCATCCCTGACAGCTGCTGCTCGGCTCAAGAGATCAAGGGCGACGTGGTGGCGGCCTGCAAGCCCGAGAACGTCTACCAGGAGGGTTGCTACAAGAACGTCGTGTCTTTCCTCAACAGCATCGCGGCCGTGCTTGGCGGAGTCGGCCTGGGCATCGCCGCTGTGCAGGTAAGAACCTTCTAGAACAGGGCACGTGGTGACGACCTGTAAGTCCGAGAACGTATACCAGGAGGGTTGCTACAAGAACGTGGTGTCTTTCCTCAACAGCATCGCGGCCGTGCTCGGTGGAATCGGCCTGGGCATCGCCGCTGTGCAGGTAACAACTTTTATTACCAAATTACAATATCATTACAGCTTACTAGTAGTCCCCAAACTAGGTAATCCTGTATCTTGGGGAAGGTAAGAACCTTCTAGCTAGAAGATCAACGAGACTATCCCCACCGCTGCAACGCTTCTGTGTAGCCAGGATCTACAGCTTGACCGCCAATCGCCAATAAAAGATTCTAGATCAAGACGACGTGATAGCGGGTTACATGATAGGGCTGCTACAATAATGTGGTGTCAATCCACAACAGCGTCACTGCCGTGCTCGGATGAGTCGGCCTGAGCATCATCGCTGTGCAGGTGAAAAGCTTCTAGGAAAATCAAGGCGACGTGATAGCGGTTTGCAAGGCAGAGAATATACCAGAAGGCTGCTACAAGAATGTGGTGTCATTCCTCAACAGCATCGCTGCTGTGCTCGGTGGAATGGGCTTGGGCACCTCTTAGCACTCATAGATTCCACTTTAATCCTGTTTCTCTAAAGTTTATCCAAATGAGCTTGCAGAATCCGACAGACCTTTATTCGGTTAAGGACAGATTCTGTTTAGGACAGATTAGGTTTACGACAGATTCTCTTTATGACAGATTCGTTTTATGACGGATTTTGTACAGTCAAGAATAAAATGTTTTTTTAACCAACGCAACGTCTCATGAATAGATTTAACCAATTCCCCCTACTATGTAATATAAAATTATGGAAAACTTCTTTCTATATATGTTACTCTGGTACCTATTGTGTATTTATTTTAGTCGTATGACTGCTTATGAGTTGCCGAGTATTCCATTAATAGCGTCGTGTATACGACGAGAGCACAAACTGAATATTTTATAAATGTTTTTTATTTTAATTTAAAACGTGTGACTGAAATATTATGATGTGATATTATGTAACTAGCGGCCGCCCGCGACTTCGTACGCGTGGACCTCGTTTTACCCATGTCGTTTCATGTTGATAGATGGCGTTTCACGGCATGAATATTTACGAATGTCAAAAACAGTAGTTTGTCCAGCGCTTTTTTTTATTTACTACTTGCTTTCCGCCCGCGGCTTCGCGCGCGTGTACTACATATTTTACGGAACCCTATTTTTTTCCAAAGTAATATTTAGCCTATGTTACTCGTGAATAATGTAGCTTTCGAATGGTAAAAGAATTTTTAATAACGGTACACTAGTTTTTGAGCCTATTCATTACAACCAAACAAAGTTTTCCTCTTTATAATATTAGTGTAGATATTTTGACCTTCATAAGTGCCACCTGTGGTCTAAATTGAATTATATATTTTTTATTTTGATTTTGCTGTAGATTTTAACCAATGACGATAGATGGCGCTTTTTAGACGTCTTATTTATTTATTGAAATTCATTTGTCACAAAATCCGTTCAGTAGTTTTTGCGTGAGTAGCAAACATCCAGACAATCATGACATCCAGACATTCAAACTTTCGCCTTTATAATATTAGTAGGAAGTAGGATTATATTATACCTAATCTACATCTACACTAATATTATAAAGAGGAAAGATTTATTTGTTTGCATTGAATAAGCTTCGAAGCTACTGGAAAAGCTACCGATTTGAAAAAATATTTCAAACTATTGTGCAAAGTATAAGATGCATTTAAAATTTATTTATATTTTTTTGTTCAAAACTAGTTACCTAGCTAAATAAACTTTTTTTTAAATAATCTGTCTTTTGAATTTATGTACTCAATTGTATTTCTGTCTTAAAACGAATCTGTCATAAAGAGAATCTGTCGTAAACCGAATCTGTCCTAAACAGAATCTGTCCTAAACCGAATAAGCCCCGACAGATACCTAAGTGAGATGATCCTAAACCATCGGACATTTCAATTTAATATTGGCTACACTGGGCTAGCGGTTCAAAATCAAAATTACTCTAAAGGTTTATCTTCATTTAAATTGATTGAAATAATTATTTTTTTCCAGCTCTTGGGAGTGATATTCGCGTGCTGCCTGGCGCGCTCCATCCGCAGCCAGTACGAGACGGTGTAAGCCGCACGTTCCCAACTCTCGGTGTCTATTTACGTATCAATCAGTGTCTATTCCAACTACAGATATTTTGTGATTTAAGTACATGTAATTATTAAGTAATACTGTATTACGGAATAATTTATTATTTTTTATTAATGTTGATTTTCAGATTTTTATATTAATTTTCTACTACAATATTTACTATGAAATGGTTTATCCATTCAATGATTTTTATACGTAGTTTTTTATAATGATTCCATTTTTCTCTTAGCCAATCTCATATTTATTATTCTTATCTTCCAGAATCGATGCTCTGTTTGAAAGACGTAGGCCTGTAGTTTTGTTTGAGTGGAAAGCACTACGCACGGACCCTTTACAATTTTCACAACCGTCAAGTGTGCTCAGTGTAGAAGACTGATTTTCGAATAGAAATGGTTGGATGCAAAAACCAAAATCATCTCCAATTTTGTTACCTTTATATTGTATTTTAACTCGATTTTATTAGACAATTAAAATGTAATCTTCGTACTTCATATTAGCCGAGTAGCGCTAGTGCACATAGTATAGAGCCAAAGTTCAATTTAGTTGCAGGCAAACTTAAAACGATAGTATCGTATGGATCTCTATTCAACTTAAAGCGAACTTTGGATGTGTGTTTCGGTCCCAAATGTTTGTAGGTATTATATTTATAATAAAAATTGGCATTATCTACAAATTTGTGTTTAATTTACGAAGTCGCAATGAAACAGCGTTGAGTGTCCTAGTTACACACATTTTATTTCCTATTTTATACCATGATATAAACTGTAACAAAGGATGATTACAAGGGAGTCAGAATTCGTGAACATCGAGATAAGGAACATCAGTCGCGTAAAATACAGCTGACTTGCAAGCAACACATTTCAAGTTACAGTACAAAATAATTAAAAAATCACATTGACAAAATATATCCAGTCCCGAATACAGTTAGTATTCACATTCTTGTATGTCGCAAGCATTTGAATCTCACAGCACCAGTTTCACTACGAATGAAGTCGCCAAATTCATTAATTATAAATATATAATTAACTCTTTCATAACGCTATCACCAAAACATTCATATACGCGCGACATACACTTTTAGCTAAAATCATTATAGTGCTAAATACCTATTTAGACCTAGGGTTAAGACATACATTATACATTACCTAGACAATAAAATAACTTACATCTAATAACGGTTTACACCTAAACGGAATACTTTAGAAAAGTCGGAGTAATGTCAGACTGGAGTAGTAAGTAGTAAAGGCCAAAAATGTACCTAACTTTTGGCACGTCATTTACGCATTACAATGGTACAATAATCTCCATGACTTGCAGTTGGAAGTTGATATGTTTTTCTCGCAAAATAAACCATACATAATCCGGCCTAAAAGAGACCTCCAATACCGTCAGTTGATGACAATTTGAACCATACATTCAGCAATTAAAAAGTAAAATTCATGTTGATAACACCACAATATTACAGCAAAATCACCTCGAACCATTCATGAACTTTGTGTACAAAAATACATAATTAGGATTTCAAGTGGCTTTATTAGTAGCCTTGATATTTGAACTAATTTGAATTAAACTATATCTCTAAAGTATTTTGGATAGATAGATGTCCTAAACCTGAGTTAGGTTAAATTAGATTAAAAACGTGCAAATGAAACTTACATTTCAAGTCCGAAAATTGCACATATAAAAAAAAGTATAACAAAAGTTAAAAAGCAACTACTTCTAGTACTTTCAAATAATCAATTCAATTTAACTAGTAAATAAAATGGACAAAGTAAAACCTACATATTTAACAGCGTAGTCATTTCACTTATTAAGAAGTTCTTGTGTAGTGGCAGTAAGCAATTATTATCAAGACTTGACTTCGAACCTACATTATCAAGTAAGATTGGAGTCATTTTCACTCAATTATCACTTCTTAATATTAAAATATCATTACCATAATGTAGTTAACCTTCAGTGAAAAAAAAAAAGAATTTTAATGGTTGATTATAAGTCCATTAAATTTTCAGAAAATGTATTGGACTACATATAAAATGAATAAAAGTAGTAAAGTTAAATTGGTTGTACATTATCTTTGTAGTCAAAAATGACTAGCCATATCTAACATTTCTTTTTAGGCAGTTTATAAGAGATGTAATGCTCGAAATCATGGGAGATTTATGGAAATAATCTATTACGGTTATACAAAATAGGACAGCAATTTTATTCATAGTAAATGATATTTTTTACTCAAGTATTTACCCTTTTAAGTTTAGAATATATTTAAAAAATCATACAACATACCCTGAAATCAAAAACGATTTTTAAGACAATGCGATTTATTCCCAAATTTTATACTAATAGGTTCGCAATGTTCACAGCATATCCTTAAAACTGTTACTAGTGTTTGAGATCATCGCATCATTGCGGCAAAAATTGACTCAATTCACTGTTTAACCTACAAATACCATCATTAGTAAAATTACGTTCCTCAATACAACTCGGCTTAAACCAATTTAACTATGTTGAATCTGCTAGGCCACTAATTTCATTCATACTACTCAATGTGGAATATGATCTACATGATTTGTTTACCCCATAATTTTTGATCATAGGAAATTGGAAATACAAACATTAGTAACCATAGAACAGAGACAACATAGTTGGAACTGCACATTATCAAATTTACAATGTATTAAGTCAGATTATTACCAATGTATTTATACAATAACACAGCTAAATACCAACTGATAATCAGTTCATAACGAAAAACTGTTATTACTTAACATTACACTTTTCAGACCTTCATCTCAAGCATATCGACATCACATTAATTGCAACTAAACATTAATAAGCCAAAATTGGTGTACACTTTCTGTGGCATATTGGGTAATTAAGACAATACTCCGATTATTTTACACGGTAAATCACAATCATTGATATATGAGACAGAGAGTGTACAACACTGGTTGGGTAGTTGGATAACATTGTAAGCTTATATTTACGTGAACAGGATGGATTTAGAGCAGAATGGTACTGAGTATGATAGTGTTGTTCCTTGGCAGGCGGGGGGCAGGGCAATCATGTAGCGTAACGCTTGGTCCACAGACGCGCGATACGATCGTGCTCCTCGCGATTCTGCAGGTACTGTGTTGCGATGCTACCCACTAGTGGATCAGCTGCAATGAAGTTCAATCTTTAGTATGTGTGTGTACTAAATCTGATTAAATAATTAAAAAACAAGATTGTTTCTAGTGGTGTTTGTTGATGAGAAAATTTTTTTGTTTATTCAATTCTTACCTGGATTACAATCGGTTAGCAAGGAACAAATGGACAATAAAACTTTTGATATTGTGAGTGCAGGAGACCAATTATCCTTTAAAATATCTAGACATATCACTCCTTGGCTGTTGATGTTACAGTGGTATATCCTAGTTCGGAATGTAACCTGGAATAATAAAAAACAGATCATTTAAAGAAAATGTTACAAATTCACTTTATTCATATAAACAGAGTTATTTTACGAAATTACCTTAGGAGGTTTAAATGGGTATTCTGGAGAAAAGTGGATATCTAGGAAGAAGACTCCACCCTCGTATACTGAGCCAGGAGGCCCCAATATTGTGGAAACCCACTCATACAAGTTGTCACCCTTCGGACCCGCACTGCAATTGGGTGGTGGATCTAATGTGATTTCAGCGAGTTCTTTTTGGATCCTCTTGGCTGATGTGCCGAGTGCCTTCGACATTTTGGGGTTAGGTTTGTTCTCTTTTGTATCGGGTTTGTTTTCAACTGCGCCGCTGGAGCCCGCGCCGCCTCTGCCGCGTCCTGTGCCTCCTCCTGATGAACCAGACGCACCGGACATTATCTAAAAGCACCAAACAACTCAAACTACTCAACTAAAAGGTGAAATGCAAATAAAAAAAAACAAAAGAAAGCAGACACACAATGAATGACACTATTTTTCTCTTAGGTAATATTATGTAGTGAATGAAGATCATGGATTTATGTATGAAATGAACCAAGATTTTATGATCAAAGAAACAAGCAAGTAATCAAAGGAACTCATTAGTCTAAAAGTTTATCTCATAAGCTACCTATTGTAGATGTTTATCTCGAAAATATACATGAACTAAGACAAAAGCTTTAATCTAAAAAACACAAATACGAAAGTGAGATGCACTTTTTTTTTATTCCAAGAAACACATGAAGAACAAAGACTTTATACGTTTAATCTCAGAAAGATACAAAGCAAACATAATGAATACGAGCTATACACCCTTATATGTAATTGGTACGACAAATGACTGAAATAACGATGGGATAGTAATGAAAAAGTTGTATTTGTACCTTACGAATAACAGTCGGCCATCTTGTGGGCTGGCGTTATCCGACAATTTAGTTTTTTGGTTCACCTGTGACCCAATTCAAGAAATAGATGTATCCCAAAACGCTACTGATAGGGTACGATAATACTCATCCAGAAAATGTACAAACTTTGTGCTATTCTACGAACGTAAACTCCTGTAAAGATGCTCCGCACTGCAAAGCGCAAATAAGCACCTTGTTACTTTCCCATGGTTTTACACATTACAAAACAAACAACCCATAGGGAGACACATCGAAAGCCAAAAATACCTTTGAAATATTCAGGTCTTCTTACTCAGTATACCGGCAGTTTTATAGCTTCAATCCACTTCTACCACATTTCATCCATTTGTCCATCGCCCTCACCAACACAAACAACTGAAATAATACACACACGCTCAAGAAATGAAAAACAATAAGATACTGTTTTATGATGAACAAATACTCACAAACAATAATCTAAGGCTTGGGAATAATCACTGCATGGAAATTAATTTACGTAATCCAAGTTTAATGATATAAATACTCGTAATTCACAAAATCAAGCACAACCATTAGCCGACATCTTTCTTTATTTTTAAATTCATTAAACCAATGTTACCATTTTAAAAATTCTATTCAAACTGCAAGTAATGCAACGGATATTTGTACGACATTTTGTACTGAATACTGATAGGGTGACTTGACGAGTACACATCCTTTATGTTATAAATCTACCACTATTTAGGGTAGGGTATGCGTCTTTTAAAAGTTTTTGGAGAAATATGTATTGCGAAGAATGCAAAAAAAATTAAACAAATTGTTGATGAAGTTCATCATGTCTGGGACCGGTATTTTAACTAGTCTCTTCCCAAGCGAAACAGAGCTTTACACGTTACTATAATAGTCCTCTGAGCCCCGATTACGGTAACTTTTAACGTTTCCAATCCAGACACGCTTCTCGATTCTGCGATACGATTGGTCGTTCAACAGCGTACGTCAGCTGTTTTGACCAATCGTATTGCAGAATCAGAAACGCGTCTGGATTGGAGACGTTAAAAATTACCGTAATCGGGGATCAGTCTATCTAGGCCTGAGCCCCGATTACGGTAACTTTTATAGCGTCTACAATCCAGACGCGTTTCTGATTCGTGATCGAGATGAAAATGGTCAAATGTCATTTGCACGACCCTTTTGCAGAAGGCGTCGTCCAAATTTTTGACCAGAAGTCGTTATTTCTTTTTTCGACATTTTTGGACCAAATCTCCTAAGGTATGGCAACACTGTAGAAATTTCTTCACCCAAGCAAAATCTCTCGACAGGACACACAACCGCCCCATACAACTCGACTTTCCAAAATGTTGCCATGTACTCGAAAAATGAATTCCAAAATTTCGAAATTTTGAACTTTTCACAAAATGGCCGCCCGCTCAGCCGCCATCTTGATTTTTTGACATTTCGGATTTTTCCCATAATCTGGGTCGTATGTCCGACCAAACGTCATTTTTATTTTTTTTCTGCCACGACTCCTTCTGTCTGTCACTAACTTTAAAGACACCCATGTCGCAAAAAAAACTTTTCCCCATAACTTTCAGTGTTGCCAGACTTTTTTCATAAAAATGGTAAAATGTCATTCGGGTCCCCAAACGTCACCAGACTGCATTCCAAGTTTATGGAATTTTTGGAAATTTCCATTTTCTACTATCCAGGGCCGTAGTGGAAAATTTTCTTCCAAAATGGTAGTTTTTTCCTATTCATGGCAACACTCGAATAACAGACCAACAATCGCCCGGAACATTGTACCCCACTCCGGTGTCGCCATCTGCCGGAAAATTGCTACCAAAGTTTGGGAATTTTTTGATCGCAACAAAATGGCCGCCGGCTCAGTCGCCATCTTGTTTTTTGATAATTAGTGAATGTGGCTCTTAAGAAGACTATACATGTCACAAATATTCAAAAGAAATTTTCAAAAACAATTGCGCATCTCGGAGTGACACCTCCCTAAAAACACCCCGAAATCGCATTTTCAATCCAAGATGGCGGCGCGGCCATTTTGTTTTTCCATTTTTTTCTCTTATTTTTTAGCACACCTTGGCAACCCCAACAAACCACCAAAAAAGAAAAAATTCAAGACCAAAGACAGAAAAGTTTTTCCTTTATCTGGACCATTTTCGGCGCCGAACCCCATTTTTACTTTTTTTCTAACTTAACCCAATCCCGTAAAACAATTCCTTTAAACCACCCATGTCCCAAAATTTTGAGTTTCCGTAACTCCCAGTGTTGCCAAGTCATCGAGCTAAAAATGGTCAAATGTCATTAGTTTGACCTATTTGCAGGAGGCGTCATCCAAAGTTTTGACCGAAAGTCGTTATTTCCTTTTTTTACATTTTTTGACCAAAACTCTTAAAGTATGGCAACACTGGGAATCATTGTTTTTCCAAACGATACTCCTTGACAAACTACATAATCGCCACATACAACCCGACTTTACCAAATGTTGCCAACTACCCGAAAAACGCATTTGAAAAATCGAAAATCTGAAACATTTTACAAAATGGCCGCCAACTCAGCCGCCATCTTGATTTTCTGACATTTTGGATTTTTCCCATAATCTGGGTCGTATAACCGACTAAACCTCATTTTTGGATTTTTTCTCCCATATATCCTTCTATCCGTCCTTAACTTTAAAGACACCCATGTCGCAAAAAATACTTTTCCCCGTAGCTCCCAGTGTTGCCAGGTGATCGAGATGAAAATGGTCAAATGTCATTTGCACGACCCCTTTGCAGGAGGCGTCATCCAAATTTTTGAGCGAAAGTCGTTATTTCTACTTTCGACATTTTTGGACCAAATCTCCTAAGGTATGTTAACACTGGAGAAATTTCTTCACCCAAGCGAAACCTCTCGACAAGACACACAACCGCCTCATACAACTCGACTTTCCGAAGTGTTGCCAACTACTCGAAAAATGCATTCTAAAATTTCGAAATTTTCAATTTTTTACAAAATGGCCGCCCGCTCAGCCGCCATCTTGATTTTCTGACATTTCGGATTTTTCCCATAATCTGGGTCGTATATCCGACCAAATGTCATTTTTATTTTTTTTCTGCCATAATTCTTTCTGTCTGTCACTAACTTTAAAGTCACCCATGTCGCAAAAAAAAGTTGTCCCCATAACTTTCAGTGTTGCCAGACTTTTTTCATAAAAATGGTAAAATGTCATTCGGGTCCCCAAACGTCACCAAACTGCATACTAAGTTTTTGGAATTTTTGGAAATTTCCATTTTCTACTATCCGGGGCCGTGGTGGAAAATTTTCTTCCAAAATGGTAGTTTTTTCCTATTCATGGCAACACTCGAATAACAGACCATCAATCGCTCGGAACATTGTACCCCACTCCGGTGTCGCGATTTGCCGGAAAATTGCTACCAAAGTTAGACAATTTTTATGCTCGCAACAAAATGGCCGACGGCTCAGCCGCCATCTTGTTTTTTGATAATCTATAAATGTGACTCTTAAGAAGACTATACATGTCACAAATATTCAAAAGAAATTTTCAAAAACAATGGCGCATCTCGGAATGACACCTCCCTAAAAACACCCTGAAATCGCATTATCAATCCAAGATGGCGGCGCGGCCATTTTGTTTTTCCATTTTTTTCTCACATTTTTTAGCACACCTTGGCAACCCCAACAAACCACCAAAAAAGAAAAAATTCAGGACCAAAGACAGAAAAGTTTGTGTTTCAAAAAGTGCCGCCATTTTGTTTTTTGGTTCAAAAAATCCAACACTAACAATTTTACCCCTCTCCCCTCTAAATACCCCAAAAATACCCCTGATCAGTGAGTCAGTCAGTCAGTAAGTAGGAATCGAGCTTTATATATTACTAGCTTTTGCCCGCGCCTTCACCCGCGTGAAATTTAGTTTGTCATAGATCGTCATAAATTATAGCCTATATGTTATTCTGGGTTATAAACAATAATACTGTAAAGTTTCATCGAAATCCGTTTAGTAGTTTTTGCGTGACAAAGTAACAAACATCCAGACATCCAAACTTTCGCATTTATAATATTAGTAGGAAGTAGGATTAGTAGTAAATTCGACTGATTTACTACTAATTTAGTATAAGTTCTTTCACATCCACATTCAATACGTCGTTTCTACATATCAACAATAGTATATTTTCTGTTGCATGCGATATGAAAGTGCTGCAAATAATTATAATACTATGTCAACAGAGTGACGACTGACGGTGGCACTGATCTCTTGTAAATCTTACCTGTAAATACACTATTCTATCTAATATGTCTATTATCTACACTACACACTTCATTAATTTTCTCTTCGAATAGTCTTAATAATATAAAAGTCATATACATACAACGTGGCCTAACAATGTGCCTTGCGAAACGAAAGTCCCGAAATAGAGCTCGCAGTACTCATGTTTTTTTGTTTTTCTTGCATACCTATTAATTCAAATTTTCGTCGATTAATATTAGTCGATAAATGCTTAGTATTTTTTCCAAAACACCAGAACAATCAAGTTCAGACATATTACAATACAATAAACACCCGTGTAGTTTACAGAAAAAAATTACAACTTCATTAAATTTCCATGAACGTGAGAAAAATATTATTGCCACTGTTATTGTGTTGGGTTTTAGGATTTTTAAAATATAAACCACTAGCTTTTGCCCGCGACTTCGTCCGCGTGGCGTGTTATATAAAAGAGAGATCTCTGTGTGTGGGAGAAATAAATGCTTAATTTTATTATTTTTAAATGAGTTATAGTATAAGTAGCTCAGTTAAATAATGAATTGTTATTATTTTTTAGATTATTATTTATGATAATTTGGTTTGATATAAATTTAGGAAAATACGATCAGTGGAAGCTAACCCTAAAGTACCTATAGGCTTTCGTCTGGAATTCAAAGATGAGAATGTGGATGTCAGTCGGTATGAAAGTAAAAATTTTACCACATGAAAACTAAAAACCGGCCAAGTGCGAGTCAGACTCGCGCGCGAAGAGTTCTGTACAAAATTAACAAAAAAAAAATCACGTTTGTTGTATGGGGACCCCCCTATTTTTATTTTATTCTTATTTTCAGTATTGGTTGTTATAGCGACAATTGAGATACATATTCTGTAATTTCAACTGACATTAGACAATGAAGTCTCAGTAATAGGGTCCCGTTTTCACTCTTTGGATACGGAACCCTAAAAAGAGTAGCATGGAAGATTAGAGTGGTTCGGTTGGTGGGTGGCTGGCTGGTGCAACCGGGATATGAGAAATGTATTTAGAAAACATATTATTTATAAAATTTCCTTATAAACAACGTTTCTGGTCTTTCTGGAGGGTGGTGCGAGAATGACCAGACTGGATGGCGAACTTACGCGGGAGCACGCTACATATAACTGACCATGGGAAAAGCAGGGCTGTCTTAAATCAACGCCTGCTAGCGCGAGTGTTTGACCCTGCGACTTATTAATGGTCATGGCGAAACATACCTTCAATGGAAATTGTAGTCTCCGAAATTCGAAAGGAAGATCATTTGGGATTAACGGTATTCGCGGTATAAATACCGTTTCTCCCTTTGCAGACCCAGTCAAAATAATACCTTCGACAATATTACGATGCAAGACCCTGACTTGAAGTCTCGTGCCGTTGCATAATTTAGGTGGTTTCAAATTCCTGAGCAACATTACTGGTGCACCGACTCGTAATCGAAGACTGTGGTATGGAAGACCAGCTGGATTAATAGTGTTCAAAAACTCAACCGGATAGTGAACAGCGTCTTCTGTATGTATAACTGTATCTACTGATTTATAAATCATTTCTTCACCTGCAAATGAATTTAGCAAAACGTCATTTATTAGTGCGGCGTGTTCATTTGTGGGTGATAAAATAGCTCTTTCATGCAGCCATTCTATAGGTTTATGTTGAATTTGAGCTATATTTGGATATACGTTATCTATTAATTCCGGGACTGTTGTAACTACAGTGCATAAATTTTCTGGTAAACTTATCAAACTGTCTTTTTCTGGGTATATGCCATTTCCTATTTTAAGTAGTATATTTGAAAAGTTGCCTGCATTGATATCCCCTTTTAAGAGCACTCGCATATTTTTAGTTAAGTTAAGAATTTCAATAGATGGCCATAAAACTGATCTTTTTAAACATGCTTTGATCTCGTCTGCCCGAGTTCCCCTTGGTACAACCGGTAATGTTTGTCTGAAATCTCCGGCTAACATAAGTGTCAAGCCACCCATCAGAGAGTTACTATCTCTCACGTCTTGTAAAGTCCTATTCAACGCCTCAAAACATTTTTTATGAGCCATAGTGCTTTCATCCCAGATTATGATTACAGCTTTACGTAAAACTTTGGCAAGATTGCTTTGCTTTGGAATATTGCAAATTGGGGTTTCCGAAATAGATAAATTAAGCGGTAACTTTAAAGCCGAGTGAGCAGTGCGACCTCCTTCCAATAAAGTTGCAGCAATCCCCGATGAAGCGACAGCTATGGCAATTCCACGATTGCTTCTAATCTTTGCAAGTATCAAATTAATAAGAAAAGTTTTACCAGTTCCACCAGGGGCGTCTAAAAAGAAAATTTTTCCATCGTTTTTATTGATGCTTGCTATAATTTTATTGTATATCAATTTTTGTTCATCTGTTAAGCAATCCTCATTTGTATTAACAAATCGTTGCAATCTAGGGACATCATAGTTTAGTTCACTAATATATGAACCTAATTCATTATTAAATCCTTCCAATCTAGTCGGCTTTGGTAATCCGTACCCTTCTATTGAGCATCCACCTAGAGCTAAGCACGCTGTTTCTATCTCCAAAAGGCACCTATTGAAGATTTCATCCATGAAAGAGCTTACATCGCAAGCTGCTTGCCTCTCAATCTGTCTTTTAAAATCTTCAGAAAGATTTTCTCTGAATTCATTCCATAGACTGACAGGATCTGCAACTTGACAAAATACTAACAAAATAGTAAAGAGTTCTCTCATCATGAACGGAGACTGACAAAGAGCCGCCTCTTGAAGTGTTGTACGCCAATGTTGGTCATCTTCAAGTAACCCAAGTGCCTTGCAAGCAGCTTTAAATGTTGGTTGTACAACACCGTTTATAGTCCTCAGTGATTCAAACGATGTAGGCCCTCGAACTTCATGTAAGAGCAATCGGAGGTGGTAGCACTCTGTATTATTCGGGTGTACGGTGTAAACCCTACCCAACGCGTGTTCTTTTTTAACACCTAGCCAACCATCTACATTTGCTCCTCGTTTTCTTCTTTCAAATTTATTATTGTTCCAAACATAATATGCCGGTACTTCACAGTATAATAAAGTTTTTGCAAAATCGTCGAATCTACATAGTTCAAAGAATGAGGTCAGTGTTGTTTTTGGTGGATTGGATACCCTATCAGCCAAATTAGATGGATTGAAATAAACTCTTTGACCGTTTTCTAAATGCACCGCCAGATGTATAACTGTAGGATATCGCTCATGAATAGGAAACCCGAGGATTCGCCAGACCGCTTCAGCACTACTTATATATCTTCCACTTTCATACATTTTCACTTCATCTTTCGAATCCTCCAGTGTAACAGTCGCTTGATCCGACCCCTTATTTACATATTTACAAATATATTTTATAGATTTTACGGAGTTACAGTACTCAACATTAATATGAGCATTAAATTATGTTCTTAAAAGAACCGCATTATATGGAACTACCCAGCGGTTATCGAGCTCTACCCCGTTGATATGTACAGTAAAGCCACCATCCCCTGGAGATCGTCGCCTATATTAGGGATAGCCGTCATCACCGGTCTGTGTTTCTGAAAGTAAAGGTCTTGGAAACCGTTTAGAGCACACGCTATCTTTCATACACGGAGACTTGTTATTAAAGTTGCCACAGGGGCCATGTATCATGTTCGATCTGATTATTTGATAAAGTTTCGGATCAGCATCTGGATCCGGAATCTCTGCGCAAATAATATTGTCAATCATATCAGCAGAAATGTGCTCAATTAGCCATAAAAGAATGTGTATGTGTGGGAGACCACGTTTTTGATATTCCACGGAATACATGTAACATCGAACATCACCAAAAATTCTGCCTTTATTTATCAAATCCATCATTGTTTTTACTTTGAGGCGAAATATTCTTGCTATTAAATCATGGCGGTCGTAGGATTTTTGATTTGGATGCAGTAGCTTTGTAATTTCTTCCCATTTAGGGTTGCAAGTAAAGGTGATAAATAAATCCGGGCGGCCATAGTGCCGGACGTATGTCATGGCGTCCTGGGTCCGCTCATGCATATATCTTGGCCCACCGGTGAATGAGGATGGCAGTACAACAATTTGACCTAACTGATTTGCTTCTACATCTTGTTGACCAATCGCATCTTTTAGGTGTATGTAGCTCTCAGTTCGTAGTTTTGCCTGATTGTACCTAATAAAATTAAGTCTCTCAGTCTCTATTTTGGCGTACTGGTCCACTATGTATTGGCTAAATAGAGCACAGAAGTAAAGCAAATAGTTTTCTTCCCCCTCCCGTATCATTATGTAATATGAATAGAAACTGGCAGCTGAAACTGTCTTTTTCAGAAGTAGTTTAGTGTTGGGGTCTCGCTGTGATATACCAATCGAATAACCGTCTTCTCCATGGCTGAACATTAACGGGTACTGTAAAGCATCGTATGACCGATGAATTTCACTTATGCGTTGTAGTTGACTACTGCGACTTTCTAATATAATATCCCGTTGCTCAAACTGTTGATCCAATAGCACTAATGCTACTTCATTGACAGCAGGGCTATTATAGCGTCCTCTGTGAGCACCTCCAGAGGTGCGATTGTGTAAAGTTGTTCATGGATGGACAATGAATACAATTGATCATCGATCGTTTATCTAAATTCGAATTGTGTAATTTTGTCCATTTCATGAAGACCGAAAAGTGACCGGTCGTATATAATCGTTTCATGGATTTGCGTTTTATTAATGCAAAACATTCGCTAAAACTCATTATTTTTTAACAAATAACAAATGAAATCCATGTTCAAATGCAGTTTTTTTAATAAAATTTTATGATTGCACCTAAATAACATACTTTTATTCTTAAAAACATTGAATTCGAATTAAAAATTTACCTCTGCAAATCAAATAACCAAACGCATAGAACGAATGAAATACGAGTTCCACTACCCGCCCCCAGGTGGCATACATACTTTAAGGCTAGGCAGGCTAAGTTGAATACTACTCTACAATAGGTGGCGTTAATGGACTACGAAAAACGACGTGAAATGATTACTTCTTTTTATTTATTTATACTTTAATGCCAAAATTTTAACCTAAGGCGAACTTAATCTCACATTTAATAAATTATACATAAATAAGTGTTTTGAGAAGTAGTATTTTAATCTATGTTCTGTGAATGACAAGTGTTATCTGTCAAGTGTCAAAAAACTTGAAAAACTTTTACGAAATTTTTGAATTATGTTAAATTTGTTTATGGCTTGAAGCTCAAATACGTTCCCGTCGAGATCACAGTAAGCATCGTCAAAAGGCTGAAGACATAAACAACAATGATCGAATGGAAGTCTTTTGAATGTTGTATCTTCTTCCACAGCAGTTCCAGATCTTTTCCCACCATATAGAGTAGTCCACTCCGTATAGGTTAAGTACCTAGAAAGCAATAAGCATAAATAAACTTAATTTCGAAAACTTTAAGCCAGTAAAATACAGTAGTTGACAGTACATACATTTTATCTTTCTGATGCTGTCGTTTACCCATGTTTGCTAAGTTTAATTTAACAAGCGATTTCAAGTAGGAATTCGACACAGAATCTGCTGAAAAAGAGAAATTATTTTCTGCAAACCAACCACAAAAACCTTATCTGCAATAAAAGTAACATGAAAAATTGGAAAAGTGGAAAACAAACAACACTGCTGAACAACACCACCACACGAAAAATGACAATTTTGACAATGTCATGAATGTCATATCCACAGAGCACGTCAAGCCAAAGCAGACTTATTTTTTCTAGGGCAGGGCTAAAACAGTGAAAGCCATAGTAGTGCCTAGCCTTACTGTGGCCTTACAGAGCCCCGATCACGGTAACTTTTAACGTCAACAATCCAGACACGCTTCTCGATTCTGCGATACGATTGGTCGTTCAACAGCGTACGTCAGCTGTTTTGACCAATCGTATTGCAGAATCAGAAACGCGTCTGGATTGGAGACGTTAAAAATTACCGTAATCGGGGATCAGTCTATCTAGGCCTGAGCCCCGATTACGGTAACTTTTATAGCGTCTACAATCCAGACGCGTTTCTGATTCTGCGATACGATTGGTCAAAACAGCTGACGTACGCTGTTGAACGACCAATCGTATCGCAGAATCGAGAAGCGTGTCTGGATTGTTGACGTTAAAAGTTACCGTGATCGGGGCTCTGTAAGGCCACAGTAAGGCTAGGCACTACTATGGCTTTCACTGTTTTAGCCCTGCCCTAGAAAAAATAAGTCTGCTTTGGCTTGACGTGCTCTGTGGATATGACATTCATGACATTGTCAAAATTGTCATTTTTCGTGTGGTGGTGTTGTTCAGCAGTGTTGTTTGTTTTCCACTTTTCCAATTTTTCATGTTACTTTTATTGCAGATAAGGTTTTTGTGGTTGGTTTGCAGAAAATAATTTCTCTTTTTCAGCAGATTCTGTGTCGAATTCCTACTTGAAATCGCTTGTTAAATTAAACTTAGCAAACATGGGTAAACGACAGCATCAGAAAGATAAAATGTATGTACTGTCAACTACTGTATTTTACTGGCTTAAAGTTTTCGAAATTAAGTTTATTTATGCTTATTGCTTTCTAGGTACTTAACCTATACGGAGTGGACTACTCTATATGGTGGGAAAAGATCTGGAACTGCTGTGGAAGAAGATACAACATTCAAAAGACTTCCATTCGATCATTGTTGTTTATGTCTTCAGCCTTTTGACGATGCTTACTGTGATCTCGACGGGAACGTATTTGAGCTTCAAGCCATCATCGACTTCATAAAGAAGTTTAAAATCAATCCAGTGACTGGCAAGGTAAGCTATCTGAATACCTACTATTACTTTATTTTAATTTTCAATAAAAACACCATTTCTCATATTTTTAAAAATTATTTTCATTGCAGAAAGTTGATGTCAAGTCTTTAATAAAACTACACTTCCATAAGAATGCTGAAGATGACTATCACTGTCCGGTACTGTTCAAACCTTTCACGAAGAATTCCCACATCGTGGCAATACGAACCAGCGGCAATGTGTACTCCTACGAGGCCGTGGAGCAGCTCAATATCAAGGGCAAGAACTGGAAGGACCTCATCAGTGACACTCCCTTTGTTAGGAGCGATATCATCACCATACAGGACCCCAATAACTTGAATAAGTTCAATATTTCCACATTTCATCATATCAAGAACAATTTGAGGGTGGAGACTGAAGGTATTCTTCTTTGAAATTCAATAATAGCTTATATCTGAAAGAAAGAAAGAAAAAACATTTTTTGGTACCAAAAAATAAAACAGTACAATCAACTTAAAAGGCAAAATACATTGTACCAAAATGTCTGTCTGGAATCAATTAATTTAGTAACAGAATTCAAATAAATATTTAATTTATTTTTAATGCAATTTCAGAGGAGATTGCAATGAGAAAGGACCCACATGCAAAGCTGAAATGTGTGTCAGCTGAAACAAAGGATATATTGCAAGAATTGGAGAAAGAATACAAGGCACCTGAAAAGGTTGAAACCAAAAAAGAGGTTGGTGTCAAATATTAAATCTCATTTATTCTCTAAAACAATCATTATTTATTGCTATGTACAGAATATTTTGGCTATTCGGGCCCAGGGCATTTCTCTTTTCTTTTCATGTATTGTAATAAATTAAATTTCAGGTTGCTGATAAATTCAATGCTGCCCATTACTCAACTGGGATGGTCGCAGCCAGCTTCACGTCCACTGCGATGTTGCCGGAAACTGTGCACGAAGCTGCCATAATTTGTGAGGATGAAGTCAAGTATGACAGAGTGAAGAAAAAAGGTATTAAACGTTTAACACATAGTTTTTTTTAGTGTAATATGGCTGTGTAAAACATGTCCTGAATTAACTTCTTTCTTGGCCAGAGAACAATCCTGATTCTGTGGACACAACAGTATTCTCTAAAATATAAAACAATAAAATGCTTATTTGATTTTCTGGCGTTAAGTTAACACATTGACTTATTGTCATACTCAAGAGTTATTAACCATTTTATTTTCCAGGGTATGTCAGACTGGTGACAAATTATGGCCCCCTAAATTTTGAGCTGTACTGTGACGTCACACCTAAAGCATGCGACAATTTCATCAAACACTGCAATAATGGATACTACAATGGGACAAAATTCCATAGGTCTATAAGGAACTTTATGGTGAGCTGAAGAAAATAATTTTACTTATGAGAAAAATACCAATATTACCATATTACATTAAAAAAATCTGTTGTTTTTGGAGTATTCCTTTTAGAATAAAGATAAACTGCTTATTTATTTCAGATCCAAGGGGGAGATCCCACAGGCACTGGTCTTGGTGGGGAGTCAATATGGAAGAAGCCTTTTGAAGATGAAATCAGGCCTAACCTACATCACATAGGAAGAGGGATTCTTTCCATGGCTAATTCAGGGGCTAACACTAATGGATCTCAGTTGTATGTATTATAATCATAATGAAAATCAATTTTGATGACTGTATAAACTAGAGATGAAACGGATATCCGGCAACTATCCGGTAGGCCGGATATCCGGCCTGAATTTACTATCCGGCCGGATACCGGATATTAAAAAACTACAACAATTTCCTATTAATAAAATGAAATATTTTAATCTTAGAGGTAAACATCAATAAAATGGCTTATAATAATGACGGCTTTTATTTAAAATTCAAAAAGTTACATAAAGCCATAATATTAAGGCCTTTAAAAAAACTAATTTCTTTTTCTGGGCTATTCACTCTAATGACGAATACATAAATAGTAAATATACACGGTGGCCAAAACAAAAAGAAAAATTTAGATTCCTTACATCAAGGTGTATCTAAATCACCCCCATGTGTATAATACGATTTTGCTTAGTTTAGGAGATAGAGTTAATTTTGTGATATTTTAAAATTCTATGACCTAGTAGGTTTAAAAAAAATATCTTATTTTTGGGTTGATTTTTCTCAGATTTCTTTTTTTTGACAGATTCGATATTAATTGCATATATTTGAAAAAAATTATCACCTTCCTATCTTTGATGCAAGATACAAAAGTTTTGCTAGAAACATTAAAATTATGCTTTTAGCAGAACACTAACAAATTTTCAACTTAAAAGTTTAAGTAAAAAAAATATTATTCCGAAATAATAGGATTCCCTATATTAATTCACTCTAAGAAAGTCAAAAACATGTAACGGAATCTCCGACTTACTACTGTAGTGGAACGATTACAGGAAATAGTGGCCCATTAAGTACATGTTTTTTTGTATTATTATGAATGTTCAGGAAACGGCGCAGTTTTTGAAATGGTTTTGGACTTATGGAAGTAATTTTTTTTACTTAAACTTTTAAGTTGAAAGTTTGACAGTGTTCTGCTAAAAGCATAATTTTAATGTTTCTAGCAAAACTTTTGTATCTTGCATGAAAGATAGGAAGGTGATTATTTTTTCAAATATCTGCAATTAATAATGAATCTGTAAAAAAAAAAGAAATCTGAGAAAAATCAACCCAAAATAAAGATAAAAAATTTTAAACCCTACTAGGTCACAGAATTTTAAAATATCACAAAATTAACTCTATCTCCTAAACTAAGCAAAATCGTATTATACACATGGGGGTGATTTAGATACACCTTGATGTAAGGAATCTAAATTTTTCTTTTAGACCTCACTGTTTTGGCCACCCTGTATGATAAGTAAAAATATTGCCAGATAAAATAGGCGATCATTTTTCACTGATGGTCTGATGTCATGATGATGCAGTTCGGTCAGATTACGCAGCAAGTAAACGAATCACACACTCACGAAGGCAACCGAAATCGCCCGAATTTATCTGCCCCTTAGACAAGTGGCAAAATCCGACATTCTATTCGGACTGATTCGATTTTCGAAAAGTGTGTCTAGTCTAGTCTACTAATAGACCCACTGATCGCGTTCGAAGCACCTGTGCGGCGCTAAACTCGTCACGACATGCAACGAGACAATGGGCCAACTATCCGGCCGCCGGATATCCGGCTATCCGGCCTAGCAGCTGGCCGGATATCCGGTATCCGGTATCCGGCCAAACTACTATCCGTTTCATCTCTAGTATAAACTGTACCACTAAAAATAAATACTGTTGTATTTCAGTTTTATAACATTTCGATCCTGTAAACAACTCGATGGTAAACATACAATATTCGGGAAACTTGTTGGTGGCCTGGACACACTAAACATAATGGAACAAATAGAAGTGGACAACAAAGACAGGCCAGTCCACGACATCATAATAGAAGTGGCTCAAGTTTTTGTAGATCCCTTTACAGAGGCTGAAGAACAGGTAAACACTTATTTTTAAATTTGTTACTGCTTTTCAACTAAATTATATGTAAACAAACATATTGAAATGTTCCTAATGGACTAGGTTCTAACAGATTTAGAAAAAAATTTATTCATTTTCAGCTTGCAATAGAAAGAGCTGAAGAATTAAAAAGAAAAGCTGAATCTGAAGGACCAGGAGTAAAACCGAAGAAGGCTTCAACACAACCACTGAAGGTCTTCAGAGAGGGTGTAGGGAAATACCTAAATCTTCAAGAACTGGCATCAACAACCAAATCTAAGGCTCAAGAGGCACCGCCACCCAAAAAACCTAAGAAAGATCCCAAATACAAGTTTGGTAGTTTTGATTCCTGGTAATTAAAAACTGCTGAATAAAGTGGAATGTTTTCAATGTAAATATTAACTATGTAAAATAAATAAATAATAAAAATTATTACTTTACAAAATTCATTTTATTTCAGATGAATTTCTAGAATACTGACAAGATTTTATAAACTAAATCAATGTGCTAATAATATTAATAATGCTAAATTTTGCTACACATTTTTGCATTTTAACTTATCTATCAATTTTAGAAATAGATAAATATGCTAACAATCATTTTATCATTTTCTAAGGCTGACTAATGCATACATTTGTGATAGAATTTAATTCAATAACTTCAAAATGTTTCTTTTCATATTCTTAACTGAAATATTTTTATTTTATGTGATGAATTAATAACTTCATTCTAATATTGATGTCTTACAAATAAAATATGAATATAACAATAAAAATGTGCAATATAAGTACATTTTAATAAAATACAACAAGAAAAGTTTAACATTACACTGTATAACATATTAATCTAAATGATCCTTTACTTTTACTTAAGTACTAATAAAATTCAATGACTGTATGAACACAAGCTGTGAGGAATGACTTCAATTGTAGTTTTGGCGCCTCCTGGCTGTTCTCTGTTTGTCAAATCTCATTTCCATCTCTTCTAACACCTTTGGTGTGTAGCGAACAACCAACTTGACTGACCCAACAGCCTGTTTCAATAATTCAACAGCTTTTTCATGGTTTTCTCCCTCCACAGACACTCCATTTACAGAGAGCAACTGGTCTCCTCTTTTCAAACCCCCATGGCGATCTGCGACCCCACCTGGTATAATCCGGGATATGTAGATGGGTGAATTTTGTTCCTTACCACCCATCACGTTAAATCCTAATCCTTCTTCGGTCTTAGGGAGTTCCACAACTCGAGGATGGGCATGTCCTTCTGCTGCAGCGAATGCCGCCACAGTCGCCTTCGCCGTAGCCGAGGCTCTGATATCAGCCGACCCTTGGATATCCACAGTTTCATAAACATGCTCATAAACCTCTCTCACAGCATTCAAGAAGTCACTCTGCAGCACTTTCTGCAATGCAGCTAATTTGGTTGCAGGCACCTCTCCACTTTGCTGAAGTTTTTCCAACAGTTCAATAGCCCTTTTTATATCTCTAGCTAAGGTCAATTGCTCCCCTGTGCTGCTCATTATAACTCGAAAGTATTTGAATCCAATAAGAGGAAGGGCGTAATTTTAAACAAATTATAAACACAAGATGACGAAAGCAACTATGACAGATGAGAAAGACCACAGAGTAAGACAGATCGATCAATACTTTTTTTAGCTGTTTTACGGCTCTGGGTTCCAGCACTTATGTTTACATGAATCCAATAGTGCCAACAAAAAGAACTAGAAAAGAAATGTCAAAATTGACAACATGTTAATTTATGTCAAAAAAACGTCACCAAAAATTCTTGGGTTGTTGCGATTTTTGTTTTAGTTTCAGTATTTTCTAATCAGTATTCTCCGCTCAGTTTTTATGATAGATTTGCAGTATTAAAAGCAAAATTCTGATTTACTGTCTTAAGTGTGATCGTGCTAAAACTGAAAAGTCTAGATAAGAAGTTGCCATGGATGACTTGGGTAAGTTAATTCTGTGATCATAACCTGTTTGGCTTGTTCTATAACCTTAATAAGGTGTTAAAAATAATAATCAGGACGTCTAGACGATTATTATTACGCATAAATTGATGGCAACAACGTATAAAATAGCTAATAACAACGAAGTAGATGCATACCCATCGAAGTTCGAACTCATCATCTGAGACCTATAACATATACTTTTAAGAGAACTTACAAAAGAACATAATCATAGAAAGTCGCCAAATTATTATAAATCTCATTTCAACTCAGTTTCAGTTTTGTACAGTTTGTGGGCCTTTGTCTGATAAGCTTTGTTTGTATAAGATAACAAAGTTGGTATAACATTTGTTGCATAAAAGCATTTCTCCCACACTCATGAAATCTGGTCTCTTACTAGTAAATTACTGGACTTTGTAAAGCTAAAATACTTATGAATGGTTGAGCTTGAGTCATCAACATTGAATAGCTTTCAAATAAGGTAATCCAACCACGACACACCCAGTTCCTAATTGCAAAACAGAAATTCAATTCTTTTAATAACATGATACATCTTATTAGCTAAGTATTATCTAATTATAAGTTATTTTCCTGTGATCTGACAAAATTGACGATGAGCCATTCTATTTCACGTACAAACACACTCAAAAACAGATTCTTTTTGCATTTTTATAAATTAAATATACATTACATACTGGACATAAAAGTAAGATTATTAATTTTCAATTGGGCCTTCTAAACTTATTAGGTACTTTTAATAATACCTATGTAGGACAAGTTAATAAAATGGTTTTAAGGGTCATTCATGACTTATTATTTACCTGCTGTGAACTGCTGACTTCTCTTTATTTATTGTTGAATGTTGATACTTATATAAGTTTTAATCTTGAAAGGCATTCAATAGATGTTAGTTTAGAATTTAGATAATTCTGAAGTCAGGAGTTTATCTAAATATTTCAAGTTAAATGTTTTATTTTTAGATACAAATTGGCATCTATATGTCATTGTGGTTTTTACCTCATAAAGTATTATTTTCATTGAAATATTGCCTAATTAGTATTGAGGATACAAACAAATAAAATTGATATTTACATGATCAAAAATATTATGTAGGTATATTTGCATTGAAAATAAATGAATTTTGATTATAAGAAAACAACATGATTAATTTATCAATTAATAACCTGCTCAGAAACACTATCTCCTACCTTAATGTTGCGTATTTCGTAACGCACGTCGCACGCGCAGACTGGTAAACAGTGCGTCAGTAAAAAGTTGTTCCTAACTTCTGTCACTTAATTCCCTTCACCCTGGTGACGTACTCCTATTATACCCTTGCCAATTACTCCATTTGCCTTCAAATATCCGGTGTACAGGGCCTGCATTAATCCGCACTCATTTCACGCCATCACATAAATGCTGCGCTGTAATAGGGCCTAGTAATGGCCCCTGATGGCTCCCTTTGGCGTCCGCGTGATTAATGACGCCTATCGAGGCCATCTCCCTACCTTGCAAACGTCTAATAGTCGTAAAATCAGCTCTTCACGAATTTGGGCGTGACCTTTGTTGACTTTTTAATATGAGTTTGCTGTTAAATTTTACCACAAATCTTGTAGGATTTGCATGTGTATTCAGCTATTTAAAAATTTACTGTTGTACTAATTTAGCAATTAAATCAGAGGCATAGATTTGATGGTTAACTCCTCAACGTTTGGGAGATAATTAAAAAAATACTAGGGCAGGGCACAAATCGTTTATAGTTGTTTATAGAATCAATGTTAGTTCCCTGATAAATTACTGCAAATAATCTGCTTTACAAGCAGGTTTACGGTACAAGCAGGTACGTTTTTCTCGCCTCTGGTTTTGTGTAGGAAACAACGACAATCAAAATGATAGAGCCCGATTGATTGGCATCAAATAACAAATAAACTAAGGTTTGATTGATTTGAAATATCCCAGATAAATATTTACAACCATGTCTACAATTTTACGCAGTCACCACGAAGTTCAAGTCCGAGCGTAAAACACAACAACTCTTGAAGGAATTCAAATAAATCAAAGTGGCCATCTGTCTTGCTTCCCATAGACGATCCCATTGACGAAGTGCAGCCGCGTGCCAATCCTCGGAGATAAGTCTTCTAATGAATGCTTATTTATTGCTTTATGCTCTGAATGTATTTTTGGACCAAACACCTTTGATGCACTGCACCATAGTTTCTGTCTATTAGATGTCTGTCTGGTTAAGTTCTACAATAGTTTGTTTTGGTTTTGATCGATCTGTAAATTGTCTTCACCTCCCAAAATCCATAAAGGAACACATATTTTTAAGCACTAGTTATGGTCCCTTACGCAGCCTTTCCCTGATACCGCGGTGCGTTTCATCACGCAATGTAACAGTAAAAATGTGGTTAATTTGTCCACTCCCACATGTAATTAAGTAAATTACTCCAATCTGTCGTACTTCGTTAGCGGCCGTGTCGTAATAGGTGGGCACACCATTAAGACACACCCTCCGCGTACATGCCATTGTCAACATTGATGATTTATTGGGCAGTTAGAGTACATCAACGAGTATTTATTCTGCAAAGGCTGCAATTTCCCTAATAACTTTCTTCCTAATCACCACATCCAGATTAGCCCGCGCTGATCTGTGATTACGCGTGTTATCACAATCCCTGTGAAGTCATCATGACGTCACGGGCCAGGTACGATGAGTTGCGTGTTTCTTTCCCGACCATCTATCAGTCGGACGCGTTCACCCAGCCGTAATAGTTGTGGATCGGGAATTTCGAAACATAATTTTCTTTTCGTCAAAATTGAACGATACTCTACTAGCATTTCTAAGCATTTAAGTACGTTTGGTTTTGAATATTAACCGTGTGTTGTATTTAATGTATTCGAATATTATAATCAACAGCTGGCTGAACTGAATGACGTAGTATTTGTACATGTCCCTTGCCATTTGTAAACATTACTCTTCTATTGATGTTGCGAGTAATTTCACTTTTGGCAGTTGGGCTACATTGATCTTGGCATTTATTCAATGCTGTTACAGACGGTTTTGAGTTCAAGTCTGAAGCCGCGTTAACCCGAATTAGTGTGCTGTGAGTACCAACGATAGTTGTGTGATCAGAGTCGGTTTGTCTGTCGTTTGATCTATCTAGAGCTGTATAGCGGTCATGGCATCTCGCAGTGTTTGCTCGAACCCATTCCTCTAGTTAGGTATGTAAGTGGGTTGAGCTAGCGTCGGAATGGAGACGGGGACCAGCACAAACATTTACTTCCTTATTAAAGCCCACAGGTCAGGAACAATGGTACAGTTAGTTAGGCAACTCGTAAAACGGACACGCCGTAAACTGCAATTTGCTGTTTTAATGAATGCCCGATCACGAATGGAATTATTAAAATTCCTGCG